TGATCATCGCCTGATCGTGTACGAGTTTGTTTCAATATTACCCCAGGGTCCAACATAGTGCAATGATAGCTTTAGGTACAAGACTAAGGGCGCGGATTGGAACTTTTTTAGTTCATTATTTGCATCTCAAGCCAAAGATTTCACTCGCAGAGATCTCTCGGCCGAGGAGGGTGCTGAAATCATGTCAGATGCCTTTACTTACTGTGCCGACATCGCTTTTGGTCGCGGGTCCTTGACAAGTACGCGTAGATGCGACTGGTGGAATAACTATCTAGTCGAACAACGTAAATGCTTTCGTAAAGCGCGCAAACAGTTAAACAGACTAAAGAAACGTCAGGTAACCGGTACCGTTCTTGATGAAGCACTGATTGCGTTTAGAGTTGCCAGGTCACGCTATAGGGCTTCGGTGGAGAAAGCCAAGGGTGATTTGCTACGGAGGGTTGTACAAAAGTTAGATAAGGAGGGCCCGTGGTCGCCTCTATACCATGAGTTCAAAGCTAATAGATCCGTCGATCTGGCATTCGTACAGAACATAAAAGTCAACAATGTTCACACCACTGGTATTGAGGAGACAACGGAAGTTCTACTCGATGAGCTGGTCCCTGACGATGTATTCGAGACGGACAATTATTACCATCAACAGATTAGGTCGTGGGCAGCTATACCGCCTGAGTCACCAGTGTGTGATCTACCAACGAGCTCGTAACTATTGTTAAAACTTTGCCTTTAAATAAATCATCTGGTGAAGACAAAGTCTCAAATAAAATGATAATAGAAGCATGTAAATCCGCGGCTGATGCGATCCTAACTGTATTCAACCGTTGTATCGCTGAAGGTGTCTTTCCTCGTGTATGGCGACGTGGATTCATTCGCATAATCCCTAAGAATGGAAATAAACCCCCCGATGACCCTAAGTCATACCGGCCTATCACGCTTTTGCCATCTTTAGGGAAACTACTTGAGCGACTTATCGTTCCTCGTTTACTGCCAGGTGGACCAAAATTCCACAACAATCAATTTGGTTTCACTGTAGAAAAGTCTACTGTCGACGCGGCTCTTTCTGTCCGATCCATGGTAAAGTCTGAGCACAGGTATATAGTAGGCATTTTTCTGGACATTTCCGGTGCCTTTGATAACGCATGGTAGCCAATGTTACTCTTAAAACTGAAAGGTCGTGGCTGTTTTAGTAACATATATAAATTAATATACACGTATTTACAATGACCAAGCTTCAGTTTAACGGAACCGTCAAGGTTCCGTTAAACTGAAGCTTGGTCATTGTTCTCGGTCGAAGTCTTTATCAATGGGATGTCCTCAGGGCTCGGTTATTGGCCCGTATTTATGGAATTTAGGATTTGCTCGCGATTCCCCTTCCTTGTGGCTGTACTTTGACTGGATATGCGGATGATGGCCTTTTGCTAGTACAGTCAAATACCCGCGCCGGACTGGAGAATTTGGCTAAGGACTGTCTCAGTAGGATCTCGCGATGGGGCGAACGAAATTGCTTGACTTTTGCACCCCATAAAACTTAGCAGCTATTGCTTAAAGGAAATCTAAAGTCGTGGCCGTCTATTAAATTTAACAACGTTTCCGTAAAACGAAAGGAGTCGGTTTGCTATTTCGGTCTAGTTTTGGAAAAAAACTTTTCTTTCATTGAGCATATTAAGGCTATTAGTGAGAAAGCTAAAAATAAGTTCTATGCGCTGACGCGAATTTCGAAAGCCACCTGGGGTCTTTCTTTTCTTACGCTTAGGATCATATACGGAGCAACCTACCTGGGATGCGTGTGCTACGGTGCACTGTCTGGGCTGATAGGGCCACAATAGGCGCGGTACGGCGAAAACTTCTTCAAGGCCAGCGTCTAGCCTTGATTTTCCTGTGTAAGGCTTATAGGACGGTTAGCACTGAAGCCCTACCTGTGCTTGCGCGCGTACTTCCGGTAGATCTTGAGGTGCAGCGACGTGCTGCTATGTACTACAGTGCGAGACCTAATTTGTCAGCAAGCTTTCTAGCACAACGTGATAGAAATAAAATTGCTAGATTGTTTAAGCCAATAACGGACGTTTGGGATGAGCTTATAACTGAATGGCAGGGTAGATGGGCATCTTCTATTAAGGGCCGCCACCTATATCAGTTCTTCCCATCCGTGCATGAGCGGCTGGAGAGACATGGTTGGAGGTGGATCACTGTATTGCCCAATTTCTTACTGGCCACGGCAACTTTAAAAGCAAATTGTTCTCTTTTAAACTTATTGATTCACCATGGTGCCAATGTTCGACAGTGGAGTTGCAATACGAGCAGTCGGCCCATCACATACTCTGGGAGTCATCTCTGGCAATATGAACGTAACACAGTGTTGAATAATTTAATTGTGTCGTCAGGTGTAGCTTATTATACGGACCTTGTGGAATCTAGAACAAATTTCCGTGCGTTTAGGCGCTTTTGCCATACCTATTATTGGAAGCAAGTATAACAGCTCACACATAGGACCCAATTAGTTTTTTAGTCAAATTTCCGTGGTGCTTGGCGACTGGGCTTCACCCAGTTGTACAGTCTCTTCTTTGTGCCTTCAGGCTTAATTCATTCTGTCTCCTGCAGTAATTCACCGAGGGAAGTGGAAACTATAGTTTTTTCTTCTTCTCCTCTTATAATATCTTCTGATTCACTTCGTTGCGGGAACCAAGACAGTTACTCATGTCCCTGGGACGCGCCGGACTTCAATGTTCCGGTGTTTTCATGGTTGTATCTACTGTAGATCCTGGCTTACAGGAGTTGCACCGGTTTTGGGAGGTTGTGGCGGGCTTGTCCCAAAAAAAAAAAGATAGGGCCCAACAGGTCCGATGCGGATTCGGAGTCGCGGAGAACCTAACGGGTAACCGGGGCTCCGGCTCGACGTGCAGGAGAAGGAACGGGGTGTTTGTTAGTCAGTAAGAGTCTGACATTCCCTCCCGCCTCACCCAAACGGGAGCAGTCATTCGATGATTATCCCCCCTTAAAAAAAATAGCCTATTCTACTTGTTTAAAATATCATGTAGTATCTTTACTTCGGACTTCAAACCAATGACCAAACGAAACCAATTTTCCAAAGGTGTCGTTTCGAGTACTATACTGAATTGCGTGTTGTAATATTTTACTTCTTGAACTTACTAAATTAATCATATCTTCTGATAGAGTGAACCGATTTCGATGAAACAAAAACTAAGTTATACCTCAAGTTGCGTAGAATTTTTGTATATAAGCAATGTCTGTATTGAATTCGTAGATTTTACGTGATGCGTGCACAAACAAACAGACAAACATTTAAAAAATGAAGGAAATGGGTTGTTTTAGTTATCTTTTTATACGCTGGCTATTTTTTTTTGTCAATTTCTTCAATGTACAAAAATTACTTTTCTACAGATTTATTATATGTATAGATAGATAGATGTGATTTCTTTTGTTTACTTACTTGCGGTGAACTCGCTCGCTTTGGCGTAAACAACGGTGGGAATAGATCTGTTGTATACTTATAACTACTACCTGATTCTTCAATATTTAATCCATTGAAGCTGTTATTGGGATCGATCTTCGGTTCTTCATTTTGTCCCATTGTTTGTGAATCAAGTTGCAGCTGAGGTTTCGCGTACATGTTACACGCTACGTAATAGGAACAGTTATATTCTGCCATGAGTTCTCTCACGCACTTCTCTCAAACCAGACAATTTCTGTTCAATTCCATGTGGTGACTCTGACAATTCACACATTTGAATTTTTTCACTTCACAATTCCTATGCTGTTCTGTACACTTAGGACATATAATTTTGTTAAACGGGCATCTTATTTTAATGTGGCCAAAATTTCAGCACTATGAGTACTGGGTTACTGGAAAAATAAGGTCATATTTCTTCTTTTATTAACTTCAAATCCACGTTCCGTATAACTCCATACGAGGTATTCACGTCTGTGGCGCTGTACACCTTCCAACCTTTGGTTTGAAACTCTTGACAGTCCAGTAACTTATTCACACATTCCTCAGTCGAAACTTCGATTCTTAATTTATATGAGTTTATGTACTTAACATGATATATCTCAGTTAAACATATACTGTTAAATAATTTTGCTATGGCAAATTGTTTAGGTAGCTTTTCTTCACTCCATATAAAGACTTTTTTTTTCAATCTTTAGTCCAACTTCCTTCATCATCTTCTTATCTTCCTCGTTTCATTGGTTTACTTATGGTATCTTCTTCCATAACTTGTATTTCGTTATTAGTAGGTTCTGCAGAGTTTTCTGCCAAATATATTTTGTCTCCTCCTTTCTCTTCCATTAAAATATGTGACATCTATCTATCTCCTGGACCTTGATTGATGTCTTCGTGGTCACTCGTACTATCATCACTGTACCCTGTGGCCATTATCAGACTGCGTTCATCGCTGATGCGTCAATATAAGATTAATTTGCCTACGTTAAAACTACAAACACGCGTGCAAATGGTTTACACGAGTGTCGCGATAGAACTATTTTTTTAAACATTATATACCATTAAACTAATAAAAAACAAAATAGTAAATTAAATAATTGTTTTATAAACTACATTTAAAAAAACCAACTTCAATCCCGTCTTTTTTAAAGACGTGAAACGCTTGTGTTGTGTTTCGTGTGAGTGAGGTTACCGGAGGCCCATAAAATAATAATCTGCCCAATTCCTCAATCCCCAACGATCCTCAAACTCCTAATCCCCAAAAGGCCGGTAACGCACTTGTAACACCTCTGGTGTTCCAGGTGTTCATGGGCGACGCCGATTGCTTAGCATCAGGTGATCCGTGTGCTCGTTTACCGGCTTATGCCATAAAAAAACGGTTAACCTTCTCCAAAGTATAACAAAACGTTTCTGAACACCGAAATAAAATCGGTTCAGCCAGTCGCGAGATAATCGCGCATAAACATACATACTACGAACCTCCTTCTTTATTTAAGGTCTGTAAATGAAAAGCGACCGGTACAATAATGTTTTCTTGCAGATGATCGTGAGATGCTGGAAAATATGATGAAGAAACGATCGAAGTCACCTGTACCAGGTCCTAGCTGGAGCAGAACGATGGAAGAGATCGATAGGGATTATTCCCCGAGTGCTTCATCTTTGAAGCCAAGTGATGATGAAACTACGTCGTTGGCAGACTCCGATGAGGTTCGTTCACCTTTACTAATTATAAAAAAAATATATAAATGCTTGCTCGAACAAGTTTGGTTGAAGAAATATTATTTCCATATACACAAGAACAGATGTACTTACAAGGCATAATTTGTTATATCTGTACAAATCTTTACAAATTAAGTCGTCCAAACTAGCTGTATTCCTGTAAGTATCTTTGTATGGTCGTGACGTTGTTAGGTGTAGTATATATCAAATATAAATTACATTTGTGTAGTATATATACCTATATTCCATATACTAATTTGATCTAATAACTAAAATGATGTTACGTAAAAAGTAAATATTTGTGATGTCATATTCAGTTATTGTCCCAAAAATATCCGTAAAAATTTTTACCATTGTTACTTAACTTTTCAGGACATTCAAGAAATCAGAAAGCGCAAAATTATTGACAGGAAACGTCGACTTTTAAAACGACTTTCAATGGAGAACCTAGTGACTCCAAAACACAGGTCCACTCCAATTAAATCGCGTTCTGAGTCATCAATAAATACTTTACGCAGAAAGAATGTAAAGTCTCAGGATGGCAGAATTAACACGGGACGTACTTTAGCGACAGCTGTGACATTTAATCAGAAATATCGAATACTTAGAAGGGAAGATTATCCTGACCATATTAATAGTTTGATAACGAGTTTTGAGTGCCTAATAAATTTATACATAGAACACATAAAGAATCTGTCGCCAAATGCTCGGCTGGAGGAGTCACCCGAACCGCCACAGAATGAGTCGCCCGAGGCGCCACAGAGGCATGAGTCATCTGAGTCGTCGAAGTCATCGGAGGAAGATCACGAGGATGACTTTGATGGATCAGATGTCGAGGTCCTCATCACTAACAAGTTCAGCAAAGTTCTCAATAAAGAAATTCATAGAATGAAACCGGATAAAAATGTCACTCATCAAACTATAGAGAAAAGTATAAAGAGGATCACGGACAAAATAAAGAGAAGTCAAGCAATTGTCGAATTTAAAGACGATGAGGAAAGTGAAAATATCAATACCGCCGTAGAACCAACAGACCAACCAGATAAAGAATGGGTAATGTTATACTTTGTTATAGTTCCTTTGTTAGATGTATAAACCGTATTCCTGAAAATGGGAAGTTAAATAATTATACTTTAGTACCTTTTCATTAAAAAGGCTTTTAATTATTATCTTAGAAAAGTATAGTTTGCATGCATATTAATTAATTAATGACATTTTACTTCAGGTTAAATTTAAATAATTGCGCCTACATCTTATTTCTTAATCGCTAACTAATCAATGCTTTTGTGAATACACAGTAAACTGTGACTGTGTTGGTGTTCCAACTAGCATCTACCTTAAATGTCAAATACCAATTATTATAAAAAACGAACAAAATAGCTTATTAGAAAACTTTATAAGGCGAAACTAAGACTTTCATTGAATTGAGGGCAATGGCAATAAGAACGTAGGTCGAAAAAGACATGTACTTTTATTATTACTTATAGCAATAGAAATATAAAATTGAGAAAAGTTCCAATAATATTTTTATCTAAAGGTTACATTTTACCATTTTCATGGTTATAGTAAGGTTAGGTTACATTAGAATGATAATAATATTGTTTTCAGATCGGCATTGGCTCCGGAAAAACATTGGTGCATAAGGACAAGTTTAAAAATGTCAACTGGAAGTCCTACACAATTGCCACAAGGTCTTTGCTTCTTGCAGTGTTCCCAAGACGGTAAGTAATGCAAACTACATATATCATAACTGTGTTGTGGAAAATTGGAATTAGAACGTAAATTTTATACATATTATAGTTGGATGTTACATTTTGAATTTCTTTTTTATATAAATTTTATTGAAGGCGTCTGATACCTTGTATAGAATACTAAAGAGTTATATTTATTATTATGTACATATTTCGTTTATGCTTTTGATGATCTTATAATAATTAGGATAGTTACCACTACCTCGCATAACCTTTTTGCATCTTACCAGGTGGTAAGATGTGGTAGGTACCACATGTACATTTCTGCACTACCCAAAGGATGACTGGCAGAGAATGCTATTAGCATTAAGTCCTCCTTATATGCAATCGTATAAATCTTAAACAAAGAAACACTACTATTTAATTCCACAGAATCTTGGCTACACACTCTTTGACTGGAAAAAAGTCGCCAGCCTTCCTTCACAAGCCAGCCAAAATGTCCCTGGATCCACAAGTAGTTTCTGATGTGGTTAGCGAGATTATGTATAAATTTCGCGTAGAAGAAAGTTTAGTTCGGTGAGTTGATGGCTAAATCTAGTGTTCTTTCTCCAATAGTATTAGAAATATTTAAATTTGTTTATATTATAACTTTCGTGAAACAAAATGAATGATTTATTACGTTTTTCGGATTATTGATGTAATTATTTGACGAGGAACTCATAGTAAGTAGCAGAGCGACAACGCCGCGTCGTCGTATAACTAATTGTCGTTGTTTTACCCGCTTTTCTTGGCTTGTTGTTTGCAGCATGATAGTAAATAGCCTATAGCCTTCCTTGAGAAATGGATTATCATACATATACCATAGACATACCAAATTAATAGCTTTATATATAGTATAGTTTTCGGCTTACTCACGTAACTGTTTGACGAGTAGCAGCGCGACAGTCGCCGCGTCGCGGGTCGCGAAATGCTTCTAATAAATATGAGCGTCTAGCATGTCTTGAAACTAGTCGAGTTCCTCGTCAAATAATTACGTGAGTAAGCTGAAAAATATAATAATTGCTTTAACTATGGCTAAATACTTTAATAGACAAATTAACCCTTAATTTTATTTGCAGGGCCATCATTACTACTAAGTGCTCCGATGAGGCTAAGATGCTCAAAATACGTCACGATAAATCTGAAGACGACCTCGAAAACATCCCGCCGCCAGCTAATGATGACAAAAATGCCTAGAGGTGTTAGTTGACCAGCTATAGGACTACAACGTGTAAGGTATCGGATTTCCGATACGTTAACCTATTAAAATTTAAACGTTACACATAAAAAAGATACAAAAAGTAAAATGTCACACCACTCGTCTGAATGATGTAATAACATTTTCTAACTTATAAACCAATTTGGTAAGAAATTAAAAACGAAAAATCAAAAATATTGGGTTTAGTCAAACACTGTGATAAAATTGAGTGTTTCCGGGCGATTCAGTGAGCAATACAATAGATTCCGTTGATCTGTAACGTGCACCATGCGGGGAAAGTGTTAAGGGCTCGATCCATAACACATTGTTATTCTTATAAAGTATTATATATACCTGTTTAGGGTAATTCATTATTATCAAATTGAATTGATTGTTGTCAAATGTGATTGTCTTGTTATAACATTCATTGTAATTGTTATTAAGTCTCGGCGTCCTTTTGCGGTACGGTACGAACTTTTTTTTAAGGGTGGGAAATCATCGAATGACTGCTCCCGCCTGGGCGAGGCGGGAGAGAGGGTCAGACTCTTACTGACAAAAATACAAATAGGTACCTAAAGTTTAAAAATATATCTATTCAACCAAGTGCCTCTTCAGTCAACGGTCGCAAGTCAGACTGGATTTTACTTACTTGACTTACATTGATGCCAAATTTCGTTTCTGTTAGTTTATTATTGTATTTATCGTGTATAATTATGTTTTTGTCATGTTCATCGTTATGATTTTTAATGTTCATTGTTATGTTATATAAACTTTAAAACGAATACACATTTATTTTTTGTTTAAGCACCAACATATACGTTTCTAAGCATTTAATTAGCAATACTGATGAGACTAGACTATATTTGGGTGAAAATAAAAAATAAATAGTTTTGACACGACACCTACAAATTCTGGCCCAGTAAAAGCCAGTATTGTGAGTCTTAGTTGGAATCCCTTGAGCTGATTACTGATGTCTAGGGACAAATCAGTGTATTGTATAGCATACATTAATAGGCATTTTTCGCGTTTATTTATTCGGAAACAATGGTACACAACTGATGTTTAGACTTGACGTTTGCGACAATTAAGCCAAAAGTAGGTTTGCGCGGTAACGTTTTTTTATTTGATTGTACCAAATTGTTTTGACCATTTCAAGTTCTTCCAAACGTCAAGAACAATATAATGATGATGATTATTAAAAATACAATATGTTATTTTGGACAAAAAAAGATTCGTCAGTAACCTGATGTTTATGTTTCACCTAATTGTATTATAAGTAGGTGTCTCTGAAAGTATTGACCATATTGAATAGGTGCATGGGAAGGACAAAATCCAACTTTTAAGCCCTGGTAACGTCTGTGCTATTTGAAACAGATCAATAGCACATAATTAAATGTAAATAGGAATACCTAATATTTTTTTCATCGTTTTTATCACCATATGGCGCGAAATGATTGAATAAAATAGTTATAACTTTTGAACCGTCCAGAATTGCATAGACATTCTCTGGGCAAAAAAGTTATGACAAGACCTTATCCATGCAACTGTTTGTTTATATCACGTCTACTTTAAGGGACACATACACGATCTACTTCAATAACTAAAGTTATTAATATTATTTGTGATAAGAAAAAAATCCTTTAGTTAAGAATTGAATAATTATACACTTGTTTGTGTAATGTGTATGTCTTGTGTCTTTTATATTGATTTCATTGATGACTTTTATATTAAGATTATATATATATTGGGATTGAATAAAACATTAGTAAGTATATTATTATAAGTTCACTTAATAAAATAAGAAAATTTTAGTAGTTTTTTTTTTATCTCATCAAAAAGTACAAGTACAAGTCCCAAAGTGTCATGGCGATCCGAATAATCCGCGGATACCGCACGATCTCCGGGGAGGCGGTGAACCTCCTTCCCGGATTACCACCATTGGAGGCGAAGGTGCTCGCGTGCGTGTATTGTCTGCGCGCGGAGGCACGTCACCGGCGCGAAACTCCGCTGCCGCGCCAAATCATTGCGTGGCAGGAAGAGCTCCGGCGCGATCTCATGGCGGAATGGCAGTAACGGCTGTCGCAACCGAAGGCTGGGCTCGCTGTCATTGCAGCGGTAAGTCCCCTCTTTAAGGAGTGGCTTGAGAGACGCTACGGTGTCCTTACCTACCGCCTGATGCAGGTCCTCACCGGCCATGGAAGTTTCGGGAGGTACCTGTGTCTGATGGGGCGGGAGGAAACGCACGGGTATCATCACTGCGAGGACCACCCTGAGGACACGGCGGAACACACAATTGGGGAATGATGCCCTGCATAAGCTGAGCACCGCCGTGCCCTCGGGGACGTGATCGGCGATGGGTACCTCTCGCGTCCGGCCCTTGTGCGGGACATGATGCGGAGCGAGGGGGACTGGGATGCCGTCTCCTCCTTTTACGAAGCAGTCATGCTAGCTAAGGAGGAGGCGGGGCGCGTGAGGCAGCGAAGCGTTGCCTCCTCGCAACCCAGCCGTTGCGAATGACACTCCGGGCGTTGGGGATCGTGGGACGATCTCCGGCCACCTAAACGCCGCCGCCTGCGGACGGCGAGTATGGGTGGCTTGCTGCCCGACCAGAACCAGACCCGAGCGTATGACGCGTCGCATTCCGCGCGCGCCTCGAAGAGCCATCAGACGACCACGGATGGGGTCCAATAGGGCTGATGCCGATACGAAGCCGCGGAGGACTCAACGTGTTGCCGGGGCTCCGGCTCGAAGGGTAGGAGTAGGAACGGGATGATTTTTAGTCAGTAAGAGTCTGACACTCCCTCTCGCCTCACCCAGGCGGGAGCAGCCATTCGATGATTTTTCCCCTCTTAAAGAAAATATACTCCCTTCTTGTCAAGTGGCGTTATTAAATGGCAATAAGCCTTTAGCTGCAATCGTTGCTTTAAAAATATGTAACACAATTAGGTAGTTAACGGAGTATGAAAATTAAAAATCTAATTAGTCCGTCAGTTAGATATCCAATGAAAATATATTAGACACGTATTTTTTTATTTTGTCATACAAGTAAATAATAATTAGATGTAACATATTTAGATTTAGCAGTAGGAGGTCGCTACACTCGCTACGTCGTCACACGTTCCAGTAAAATTAAAGGTCGCAACTCGTCAGGTCACACGACAGTTCAAATCAATATAATATGTATCGTCAAAAGTATGTAATTTTGTAAGAAAAGAAAAATATACGTGTTTAATATTAATACATTTGAACAAAATTTTTTAGAACATTTAAAAAAATTTAGGAAACACCCCAATTGATCTTTACAATGATCAGATTGAATTGAGTTTCTAATTGCACGGTTGCACCCACCGTGGTGACTGGGCAACCGGCTAGTACGCATCGCGTAGTGGGTTCGAGTCCCGCACGGAGCAACACTTTGCGTGATCCACAATTTGTTGTGTTGTGTCGGGTCGGTTATGTGTATCTGAATGTAAACTTGTATGTTTGTAAACGCATCCACAACACAGTTTTATTAATAAAGAAAGAATAGAAGTTGAATTTTAAGTACCTACCTAGTTTGAATCATATTTAAGTTTTTATATAAATTCTAAAAAACTAATATTATAAAGCAAGAAAAACACTGACTGCATTAAATAATCTCTGAATCTAAAACTACTCAATTGACTATTTAATAAGAAAGAAAGAAATGCACATATGTATATGTAGACAAAACGAGAAATAAAAATTAAAAACATATATAAATAAAAACAAATTTAAAACAAAAAATAAACATCGCAAAATTAGCAAAAATAGATGCATGCACGTGTCAAACGGGCCTCCACCTCAGCATTATGTTGAGCGTGGTAACACTCAACGCTGGTCTTCTGGTGGCACCCTGCAGTGACTCACGGATGGTAGGTAAGAAGACAAATAATAAAGAAAATAAAAACAACCTGTATGTAGTGTGTCAGATACAACAATAAAATAAAATTAATAAATAAAATGGTTCATACAAATCCAAATATATTACAAATATGTACATCAGTACATGTTGCTAAGAAGTAATATTTAAGCTTAATATGAAACAAATAAATACATCATAAGACGAAAAATAGCGGGAATAACATAAGTAACGTATGATATTATTTTTATACCTACTACGGGGTAATTTAATAAATATATATAAGTAATATTTAATAAGTTCCTAAATAACCCCACTTTAATTATTCAAGCGCTAAGTTTAGACTGACAAAGAAAACATTCTCATTGACACCTACCCACAGATTTCAATAAGTTTTTTATTGTTACCCGCAGCAGCCAGGGCAGTTAGTAAAATCTATTGGCGAGTCCTGAAATAAAACTTTGTCTGTGCTATCTAGGGAAGTAGGTACGGTGGACTTGACGTGTACTAAAACAGTACTACATTTGGAAGATATCAATGAGTTTCAAAATGAATAATTTAAAAGAAACGGACGATGACTATGTGAATGAAATTAAAGACCGTGATCAAGGTATGGCGGGCTCCCACCTAGTGTCGAGGCAACCGTACAAGGTGGCCCTGAATGATGGCAACCGACCAAACAATTATAGTGGCGTAGTAACAAGTGAGATGCAAAATGACAGGAATTTTATGATGTCAAATATGAAACCAGGAGTAGAATGGGTAATGTTATAATTTTATTTATATTTCGTTTATAAACACACTATGTATATAGTGTGTTCCTTCGGCCTACGGTTTCGCTCGCGCTCTTCTAAGACATGCAAGATTTTTTGTTAGCCTCCAATAGTTCGCATAGGTGCCAATAATTTTTGTAAAGAATATTTAGGAATGTTGAAATATTGCGTTACAGTTATGTTACGTAAAGTTTTAATTGAAATGGTCCGACAGCATCTTCTGCTTCTTCATCTAAATCTCCTGCATCTAAATTCAAAAGCTTTTAATAAATTACTCACTGCCAACAATTACATATAATGTATATTAAACCGTAAACATGTATGATACCTACCTATCGAAAGTTACAAATAACGAAAGCTATTCAAAAGTCAAATTAAGAAAAATAATTTCATAGAAACGCCTCATTGGGAATAAAATAAAATCACACCTTACAAAGAAAAACTAATTATACCTGCTATCAGGAGAAGCACATCAAGTATTTTTGCGTTAGAAATAAAGCAGAATAAAAATATTATTTCCAGATCGGCATTGGCACTGGAAACACGATGATACATAAAGATGAGTACGAAAGTATCAACTGGGGATCTTATGATGTCGCCACAAGGTCTTTACTTCGTCTAACCTTTCCAAGACAGTAAGTAAACTATACTGTGTAATTTAAATTTCGTAGGCTACGTTGAAGTATCCCCTTTGTATCCATCTTTTTGTTTCGCTGTAGTAGGGTAAATTACTAATGGAACAAATTTAATTTCCCAGGATCTTGGCGACCCATTGTTTGAGTAGGAAGAAGTCACCACCTGTCCCAAGTGTACAAGGAAAAATGTGCTTGGATCCAAGAAAAGTTGCCGATGTAATTCAGGAGGTAAAGAAAAAATGTGGCGCACCAGAAAATAAGATTCGGTGAGTTAATAAACACATATAACTAGTCACGCCTTTAACCCCGAACGGGTAGAGAGGTGCACATTATTGCACTCATAATGCCACTGTACAACGTAACACCCACTTTTCACTATTTATGTTATAAGTCCCATGTATTTGTATTATAACTTTCGTGAGACATACTTAATAAATTATTATGTTTTCGGCTTACTCACGTAATTATTTGACGAGGAACTCGACTAGTTTCATGCCATGCTAGAGGCTCATATTCATGACCAGCATTTCGCGACCTGAGACGCGGTGACTGTCGCGCTGCTACTGCGTCGAGTTCCTCGTCAAATAATTACGTGAGTAAGTCGAAAACATAATAATTTATTAAGTCCCATGTAATAGGAGGTGACCCTATTGGCATATACCGTGCACAATTCCATATTCCATGCTACTACTGGGATTTATTTTTAAAACTCAGTAATACTTTGCCCGACCCGGGAATCGAACCCGAGACCCTTTGCCCGGCAGTCGTACTTGTGACTATTCGGCAAACGAGGCATTCGGTGAGTTAATTATGTAGTTATATAGTTTTTCGCCATAAACAATTATAACAGCCTCATAGAATAATTATACTAAATACCTACCTATAAGTATTTATGTTATTGGAAGATGACTTATAAATTGGCTCGCATGAACATACATAAATTATATTTATTTATGTATGTATATCTCTGAAATATATTAGTTTATCTTTCATTGTTCAATAAAATCACTGCTTGCCTTTTGCACCTACCATTTACTCTTCTCTGCATCACCCAAAGGCCAGACTGGTAGAAAATGCCTGCGGCATCAACTGCATCTTTTTGTACATTTTGTGCATGAACCATATTAAATAAATAAAAAATAAACATCCCGAAAGAAACCATCTGCATTTGACAACTTAACGACATACTTATTTGCAGGAGCATCATTACAACTACATGCGCTGATGAGGCCAGGATACGCAAAGCACGTATGAGACAGATACCGATTGCTAGAGTAAACAACGAAAACCTTCCACCACCAACAGCTGAGGCTGCTACACCACCACCGGCAGCTGAACAAGGAGTAAGAAGACGCTGGAGAAATTGATAACCTACCCCATTCCATTGATAAATTCATACAAAATGATCCTAGTGATAAGAGAAATGAATTACTTGTAGCCGAAAATTCATTCAGACTCCGGGTCGAAACCATTGACCATAGCACTAAAACTGGGTGCTTATGGGACGACGTGCTCCGTCGTAGACAGCATCATTGCTTACCACCAGGTGAGATAGTGGTCGCCTATCAAATATAAAAAAAATCTGGGCCTGACCTGCCATATTCAATTCACGTCAACAGACCATCGTTATAAAAAAAAATTTGGACCTGACCTGCCATATTCAATTCACGTCAACTGACCACTTTTAGAACCAACTACGGTACGGTATTTAAGTTTCATTTTAAAATAAATACCACTCTTACTTGTTTCTAGTTTACGAACATATACGCCATTATAAGCTAGTACTTTTAGCAATTAAAGAACAGCACTGACAAGACAGGGTCTCACTTGGATGAAAACGAAAACTCTAATTATTTTGCAAATATACTGTGATGGCATTTAAGATTTTTAACCCAAGGAAAACCTTTTAATGTGAGTCCGTTTGACCTGATTCAGAGAATGTTAGTTTCAAATTACTAATATTTCATCTGGGTAGGTAAGTACACTACAATACTTAGTATTTTTACACTGAATAGGTACCTCCTAATATTAGTGTTACAAAAGAGGCTCAGTGTCAATATAGAATGTAATAATTACACAATAAAATTAAATTTGTATATAATGTACTTCAAATTAATTTGAATAATGACTTTTATTGAATGTACCTAGTTGTTTTATTTCAGAATGTCATAGTGTTATATATTTAAGTATAAATTAAGTTCCCTCAGAAGTCGAGCATGAAACCAGCGTGGCACACCATCCTTTTCTCTTAACACTGGAGCCTGCAGTAAAAGAATGCATAATTTTTCTTGGTACCCACTTAGCACTTGACTGTTCGAGAAGTCTTTTGGTGTGTGCTCTCGACCGTAAAAAATCACTATTGTTATGTCGTAATAAAACTTCCTCTAAATTACCTGACGAAGCACTTGGTGGCAATTTGCACACTAGAAAGTTACTGGACCTTTGATCAGCGAGTTCTGTGATTGACGAGATTGATCTTGACCGGCAGCCCTCAGATGAGGAAGAAGAAAATCGAGGGCGTGTTATTGTGGGTGGCGAGCCCCATCCAAGGCTCGAGGTGGAGGAAACTAAAAAAATTACAGCGGAAAAAGCGCATATTCTTTCTGAGTTTGTTTAGACACCATTTTTTTATAACGTTGCCCCATTTTAGGTTTTTTCCTTTGTCGTGGGTGCGTTTACAAACATACAAGTTCACATACACATGACACCCAGATCCGGAACAACAGTTTGAGGATGTCATTAAGCGTTGCTCCGTGCGAGAATTGAACCCGCAACACGTTGCGTGTCAGCCGGTTGTCCAGCCACCGCACCAACCGTGCCATCAATGACATGTGTAAATATCATAAGTATCTATTTAAATTTAAAGGAGCTAAGCTAGGAAAGGTGACATTTAACCTTTGTATGTCTAAGACGTGGATCCACGCGAGACACAATGTATTTTCTATTGTGTCTCATATCGGTGCATTTAAAAGGTTAATGACATTTTTGTTTTCACGAACCTATAATATGTGACAAACTATTTTTACTGGATAACTAGATGCTTCCTCATGTCAACTAGGTACTTACACCAGACACCATTTTAGATAGATATTATTACGTATCTTCAGTAAAGGTGGATCAAACTCAAACTCAAAAGCATTTATATCAATTAAACCATAATTTGGGACTTTTTACACGTCAACAAATATGAAATAAATAATAGTCTGTCAGTCTGTCCGTCAGTGAAGTTAGGCTAGATTTGCAGTGCATTCAATGATAAGGGTCTACGATTGAATATTGGTAATTTCTCATTCAAAACTTGGTATAGTACTATAGCCCACTATCAATGCACATTTATTGATAGGAATATCATTAAAGCACAACAGAGAAAAATGGAGTCGTACACGAGGGCAGGCAATAAAAACCCGCTGCCGCCGCTGCCACCAGTGGAAGCTACTGATGCTGAGGTTAGGAAGGTTAGCACAAGACTAGGGCGTAAGTGTGTCCTACGAGTAAGTGTCCGAGTCTATGAGATCTGTAAGTATAAGTACAAGAGTAAAGAGGTCTACAAGTCTACGAGGTCTACGAGGCTACGAGGTCTTCGGGACTACGAAGTCTAGGAGATCTACGAGGCTACGGGGTCTACGGAACTACGAAGTCTACGAAACTATGAAGACTACGCGACTACGAGTCTACGAATATGTTTTCCACTCGCATTATCTATTTTTCACGTATATTTTTTTCATGTTTTCATACATACATAGACTTAATGTCATAGGCATCTTTGATTATTTTGGTATTCTGCCTAAATTCACTATTCTAGACCGATAAAGTCGGAGGCGGAATCTAGTATTAGTTCCTATTTGTATATAATATTTAGGATCGATAGAAAGTCGTTTTCCTTGGCTATGCACAAGATCTCTTCTTGTTTGTAGGTGTGTTGAAATTACAATACAATATTGTGATCACCAGTAGGTACCTAGGTCATTTACTTCATAGTCAAAGGTGTGAGGGGAAACCTTCAAAGGACGGCTAGCTTATGGAGAGAAACACTAGGAAGTCTAAATTTTTACCCTAATAAAATCAACACCTGTTATGGGACATGGATCCTCAAAATTTTTGACATTAATAAAACATTGCCATATCATTAAACTTCGTAAACTTTCACACATTAAGGTTAATAAACAGAAATGATTTCAAACAGACTTACGAAAAATAAACAAAACTAATAATTTAGAATTGTAATGTTGCTTTATTTGAAACCGTCATAACTATAGTTATAATTATATTAATTGCAACACTGAGAAATTGACAATAAAGTAGGTAAACTGCAATAAGAATGTAATAATTTTGTCGGTACCCACACTGGGCTGTTGGCGAACCATTTGACGTGTTCTCTAGACGGGGGAAGTAACCACTGCTGTAAAGTGACAATAAAACTTTATCCGAGTATTACCAATGTAATACGGCTTGCCATTTACATTATTTTGGACCACTCTTGGAAGTTGGACCCTACGATCTACAAGTTGTGTTTTCCAACATGAATGGTTATCGAGACCAGTCTAGTTATCTCCTCGTGCAATGGACAGATGGAGAAAGAGGACAAATCGTGGTATCAACCAACGAAGTACTGAGCCCTGTACTTAGAATTTATATGCCGTACCAGTCGGTGATACTGTCGTATTGCAACCGACCAAGACGAGCCACTATTGTGGCGATTTCAAGTAAGAATTTTCTCCTTTTTATATGTGTTAAGTGTATTATAAGCATGTATGTATACAATACACTTAGCACTCTGGAAACATATATATTTAATCACACATTTTTTGCGTTAGATCGAACATAAGTTACGATATATTCCGTAGCAGTCGTCTGCCGAATCCTGCTCTTATGGTCTTAGGTTAAAGATAATGGTGTGAAGAGTACATTCAAATACGTCATTCACATTTGTAACGTCTGCCCTATCTGACTATCATATTCTTTGCAAATAGATTGTGTGCATGTATAAATCACTTGATAACTACTAAAACGCAAATAATATACGTATTAAATAATATAAAAATTATGTGGAAGGAATTTTAAATAGATGGATAGTATGGAACAATGGGGTAGACGGATAATAATTGTCTTTACAATTATTATATTATTATTGTACTTTAGGGTTCGAGAGGAGATTAAAACTTGGCTAAAAAAATTAATTCTCGACCCCCAACCGCGCGGGAATCAAACCTGCACGACACATTACGCGGCAGCCGGTTGCCAAACCGTAAGAACTAGCACACAAGCAATGAATCCGCTGTACTGTAAAAGCGGTATTTATACAGATAAAATAACGGATTATTTTTTACAGATAATCGCATGTTACTGGATCCAGACCCAGTTAGAAGAGGACTAAGAGCAAGACCTAGAAGGGTAAGAAGATTATCCAGCTCGTCATCGTCTAGTATACCAAGCGATGGCGCCGAGTCTCCGGAGATGGTTGGTTCACCTTTCTATAATATGTATACTTTATACCTAAACTATGATTAGGTATTCCAATATTATTTTTTATTGATAATTATTGTATTCAATTACGATAATATTTTATAGAAATATCGAAAACGTTGGGTGGTGACATATTTCTTAATGTTTATCTAGTAGATTATAAACTACACACTAATATGTGTATTATTTAATATAGGTACATTTTCTTTGAATAAAAATAATCGTTTACTCACTGATCGTTCTTAAGTATAAGTATTTTTACTTAAGATCTCCATCTACATAGCTCCATTAGCCATTTAAACTTTAATTCGCTTTATATAGATAAAGGGAATTGAAGTTTATTACACAGTTGTATACAGTGTAATATACAGCGTATAAATATGAAATAATATTATTACCTTTTAGACTATAACTTGACCTAGTTTAAAATAAATAAAAAGACCTAGTTTAAAATTTACGGAGTAGCTAATAAATATAGTAATAATAGTAATAGTATATAGTAATAATAGTATTAGGTATTTCTTATTGGTAAATTTGTACGTCGTGGTGGCCCGGAGGTTTAAGACACCCGCTTCTCATGCATGAGGGTGCGGGTTCGAAACCCACCAACGGCAAGTACCATTGTGACTTTTTCGTGTTATATGTACTTTCTAAGATTATTCAGACACCACTGACATATGGTGAAGGAAAACATCGTGAGGAAAGCTGGGCTTATAATTTCTAATTATAAGTTTAAATTCGCCACCCGCATTAATGCTCAAATCTTCTCCGTGTGAGAAGAGGCTTTGCTCAGCAGTGGGCATTATAAGCTGTTAATGTGATGTGTGTGTGTATTGGTAAATTAGCTATTGATCTCTAGTTGGTTAATTAGTTAAACTATTGGTAAATTAGCCATAGTTCCCTAACACTATCTGACATTAATTCTTAATACTAGAGGTACAAACCGTTTTTTTTTGATGGGGGAAAATCATTCAATGACTTCTCCCGCCCGAGTGAGGCAAGAAGGAGTGGCAGACTCTTCCTGACTGAAAACCACCCCGTTCCTACTCCTGCACTTCGAGCCGGGGCACTTATCGGCATCAGCCCTGTTGGGCCTCATCTGTGGTGGTCTGATGGCTGCTTGAGGCGCGCGCGGAACGCCAATCGCCGCACGCTCAGGCCTAGTTCTGGTCGGGCGGCGAGTCACCCGTGTTCGCCGTCCGCAGGCCCGTGCTTACGGTGACCGGAGAAATACTACAAACCTGAAGCGTAGTTTGAACATCGCTAATCTCTAGAATTACTAGTTCCAATCGAACAATTATTTTTATGTAATAGGTCATTTAGCTAGAGGGTATCTATACATCACGCTGTGATTAGTTCATGGTTCGTGGGCATTCCCGTACAATTTGTGCTTTACAAGAAGGAAGACTGCCAATAGCTCATTATTATCGATTAAAATCGAGTTTCTGAAAACAACGACACCTGCTTCCATTAACAGATTTTATTTTAACTCGTCGAGTACCGGTTTTATAGACACAATTAAAGAACAATAGGTCGCGGTCACCGGTGACCGCTTGGTGTTTGACAGTTTAAATTCAGTCTTCATATTTGCTAAACAAAATTTGTACCTTTTCTATTCGACGTAATTGGACATTTCGAAATCATTTATTGGACTAGGTACTTATTTATTTTTCTATTATTGTTTTTTTTTTGGTATTGTGTTTTTTATTCATTCTTGTACCAAATAAAAGCTTTTTTTCTTTATGTTTGAAAGAAAAGAAATAATGAAATAAGTAATATGAACTTTTCCAGAATGACTGCATGAAGCCCTGGTTAGAACGATTCTATTATCGATATGATTATCAGCGGTGGTTGGCAGCACAGAGATGGCACCAAAGAATACACAGGCCCATTCCAATATTACCAATATCTGCACCACAACCAAGCACTTCAGGCATTACGACCAGAAGCCAACCCCATACTAACGGAACTAGCAACGGATATACCAACGGATCCCCAGGTCCTAGCCGTAGTAATTTTAATACAGTGGAAAACATGAATGGGAATGAGATAGAGTTTAATAATGTAATAAGTTTTATGGCGACTGCGTCCTTAAACCCACCACCTCTGCTGTTGAGGACGTTAAACCCCTCACCGCAGCCGTCCGGGTCGTCTGACTCGCAACCGCAACCTTCGGGGTCATCAGACGCGCAACTGCGGTCATCAGGGTCGTCAGACTCGCAACCGCAATCGTCAGGGTCATTAGACTTGCAACCGCAACCGTCTAGGTCGTCTGACGCGCAACCGTGGCCGTCGGGGTCGTCGGACTTGCAACCGCGGCCATCGGGGTCGTCCGATTCGCAACCGCGGCCGTCGGGGTCGTCAGACTCGCAACCGCAGCCATCGGGGTCGTCGGACTCGCAACCGCAACCGTCGGGGTCGTCGGACTCGCAACCGCAACCGTCGGGGTCGTCAGACTCGCAACCGCGGCCGTCAAGATCATCAGACTGGCAACCACGGCTATCAGGGTCGTCTGACTCACAACCGCAGCCGTCAGGGTTGTCAGACTCGCAACTGCAGCCATCGGGGTCGTCAGACTCACAACCGCGGCCGTCGAGGTCATCAGACTCGCAACCGCGGCCGTCGGAATCGTTGGAGCCTCCATCTCAGACGTCAAGGTCATTAGATTCGTCATCGCCGTCGAGACCGTCGGATCTGCCATCTCAGCCGTCGACGACGTCGGATTTGCCATCGCAGCCGTCGGGGTCCTTAGACCTACAGATTGCGCAGGCCAGTAATAATGAGCCCGTAATAACTAGTGATGACCTTAAAAATACATTATTAGAAATGATTACATTACTAGATCTATTCCAAGCTGGTCCTAGCCGCCCCAGAGAAGGCCATGCCAGTGAGAATGTTCTTAACCAAGATCAATCGTCTGATGACGACAATGTTCATATCCCGAACAATTTTAACCGTACTTCCGTCATAGTTACGAAGCCAACAGGAAATCCCAAGACAACAGACCTACAAACAATGATTGAATCAGTAAAAGAAAATATTGCACCGCAGATGCAATCTCCACAACAAACGAACAGTACCCGCAGGAGACGTCGCAGGAGACGTAACAGAGACAATAACAGTAACACAGGTAGCATAATACTACCAACGTCTCCAGGTGGTCCTTTAGATCGTATGACATGTGATAGAAATAAAACTATGGTTAACATATTTATACGTTTTTTATCATTTATTAGGGATGCATATGATAAAGGAACAGCACCGGACTTTGCGAATTCACCACAGTTACAAGATCTGTGGGACATTCTTAGTTCTAACAGATCTGAAGATGACATCCAACCTGGCCCTAGCCATCTCGACCCCAGGCTCCCCGGCCCCAGCCGCTCCATTGATCCAGAGATAGTAAACCAAAACAGTGACAATGATATGGAATTATCCTCATTGTCCGCCCCATCAACAACATCTTCATCGTCATCGTCGTCAAGTCCAATGAAGAAAATAAGAACAGAACAAAATTATTGAAATTATAAAAAGAACAAAACATCAATGACTAATAGAACACGGTAATTATGACGTCGGAGATGGTATACTTACCATACGTCTATCAATAGTTTCAATATAAAACAATAATTTTATATGCGGTAAATTGTGATAAATAAATAATACGTTGTACTTGACTATATTTATACCAAAGGGTTGTCGTATAGAAGCGCAATTCAATAATTAGGATCCAAGCTAAGATTAGGTAGGTATGTGATTGTTATACCTAATAATTCTGTTTTCTGTGCGTGTTAGCGGTACGGTGCGAATAGACATATTGACGCATGTACAAAAGTTAAAATAATGCGACTGTTAAAACAGTAGTGGTACCATTCAGCCCATTCAGAAGGGAGGAGTAAGTACAAAATATGGGCTATGTGCAGTCCTAAATAAAACATTCTTTTGAATGAACACTTTGAATCTTCAAATTCCTTACCGGTGATGTACTTTATATTTTTAATGTAATGTCTAATTTTTTTATGTTTCATTTACTCTTTCGTTTATACGGTTTTAGAACTGAAATGTTTCTCAGAGCCGTTTAATGCCTCTTTAACCCAGTCCTCAACAATTATTTTAGGAACAAAATCATTACTGAGGAATAGTTAAAGTAATCATTGAATATCTGTGAGTACGGCATTTAGAGTAACATAATTTGAATTAAACTCTGTTTTAACTAAACTTATGTTAACTGACCATTGTGCACTGTTTAAAAGACTAATTACTTAAGATTTTGCTTATGATATGTTAGTATTTAAGGAAATTATATTTTGATTTTTCACTTTATTAGTAAAATACCTATGTTACTGGGCTTTACTTGGGTGAAAATTAAAACGAAATCTAAAATTTTTCACCCCAGGAAAACCCTGTATTGTGAGTCTTATCGAAATCACTTGAGCCGATTTCGAGAATGTGACGATTTGTAATATTTTAATCAATTAAATATTATATGAAATGTATAATGGTATAATAAAATGATAAATAATATTATATTAATGTAATTAATAGTCTGCAAATATAATTTTAAGACGTGATGTGATCCTACGTACACAATGGTAGTTACTTGATGTTTACGTTTCGCATTTTATACAATTAATAACTGATCAGGGTTTAAATTTTATGGAAACTGAATATAAATTATATGATACGAAAGAGACCGAACGTTAAGTTTACAGTATGCAAGTAATGATACAAATATGTGCACTTATTTTTTTATCAATTTACGACATTTATATAAATAATGAATTTGAATAAATATAATGACAGAACATAAAGAAAATATTTATTTGTTTTATTTCACAACTTCATTTTGTATGTTGTAAGCATATCATTGACTAGACTAGAATAATAAATTATTAACACACCTTTTAATCCCCAAAGGGATAGACAGAGGTGTACACTGTACATAATACATACATAATTATACAATCACTTTCCACCTGTTATGTTCCTAGATTATACAAAAAAAATATTTTTATATATTTCAGTACCTATAGTAAAAATGAGAAGTTATAAAGACGTAAAAAATTAATTACCTACGTGTCTACCTATACATAATTACAATACATTCTTCAGAAACTATTTTATAAGTAAGTCATTTTATACATCCATTTTTATATTTATAATATTTTAACAAACCTTACAATAGATCTGAGTTGGTGGTGAATTTAAATTCTCAAAATGAGAAATATGTATCAAAAATGTTTGGAATTACTTTTTCAAACAAAACAAATTAGGCCTGCAATACGGCGAAGAAAGATATCGTGTGATAAACTGGACTTGACAATGGTTATGTTTCTGTAACCAAAAACAAATTGTTTCCACTAAAATAATTATACAGTATTTAAAAGTAATTTAAATTGATATTTTTGTGAAACATAATTCATAGATAGCTATTGTTTTTGTCGAAAAGTATTGAATTTCACTAGTTGAGAACTTTCTGATTAAATGATAAATCTGTAAAATCCATGAGCAAGTTTTGTATTGTGAGCAATCAATTGCGCATTCTTTCTCCGTATAAGAGACCTTTACCCAACAGTGTGACTACTTAAAAGCTTGATATCAATATAAAACAAATGCACATAGTCATAGCGACTGCGTAGAAAAACTAATAAGTCCACATCATGTCAAACTAGGCTTTAGTACCGCCTCATAAAGTCGATTGTCACTTACACACTTAACGTCCTTGTTGGAATATCCCCAGGGGTGATAATACAATATCAGTGTTGGTGCTTGCGGTGATTGCTCTCATCAGCATCATGTCATCAGGAGTGAACTGCCATCCGCTCAGCTGACCGAGGCTCGTAAGCTTGGGGCAGCACTCAATCAAGAGGTCGACTGTGTCTCTCGTCAACCGCGGCGCATTGGGGAACCAAATGCCTTCCAAATGCTCGAATTTGTTTCGGCGAAGCATTCTGTAATAGAAAATATTTGACGATATAAATCTGTTCTTGTTTTTAGTTTTAATCCCAATGTTCTTACTTAATTGTCTATCGGCAATGGTTTTGGTGATGACTTCATTATGTATTTAATTTTAAATCGTCAACTTTAATTTTAACATTGTTTGTCGTTAGACGGTTATTAAACGATTTCAAACTCCAAAATTAAACATAATTAAGTATTTCAGATGTACCTAATGATAAAAGTCCGTAAACAAATATAAATGAACAATACTTATACAAAGACAATTTGTTAGGATACAGAAATAACTGGACAGAACATAAATCACTTACCGCGACATATCATTGTCATCCAACTTGATTTCGTCGCCGATAATCAATTTCTTTAGCTTAGGACTACCAGTCATCAGGTACTTGAGACACGATGTCGACAGGTTCCCGTGAATTATTTCAATGTGTTGCAAATTGTTGAACGGTATCTCTTCTTCATGTGTCGCCGTTTGTATTTGATAGAACTCTAAACTTTCCAGATTCCTACATGTTTCTGCCACCCTGGTAAAGTTGAACGACCCTGTAGATGCAGATAGCATCAACGTTTCTATCTTGTGACCAACCTTATCAAGCAACTGGTGAAGTTCGTGACACTGGAATTTATTCAGCTTAATCTTAGTAACATTGTTCAACTCTTTGATCTGCTGCAGTACACCTTGGTCCGGCTCCTCCAGGTAAATGGTCTCTATCATCGGACACAGCGCAATAATCGCCTTCATCGTGCGCATGTTAGTCTGCACGTCATGCATGTACTGGAGCTTTGTTTTGAAATCCGGGTCCGTCCTGTATATCGAGTAAACAGATTTACCAACAAACGAGTAACTGCCAAGATTAGTGAGGTTTGGCAGCCGCCGTATTAATAAAGCGACGTCTGTGTGATCAATGTTCTCCTCGCCGTACATTCCTATGTTTACCACAGTCAGACTTTGAGTTAGTTGCGGGTTCCCCGTCAACATGGCGTCTATACCGATCTCTGTGATGTCGGTTTCACCAGAAATGTCCAACAACTTCAACACCTTATTGTACTTGCCGATATATTTGAGCACTTCGTCGTTAGCAATGTACGGAATATTTAAACATGTTAAATTAGGAAGATTTTTCAACAACTGATACATTATTGGCAAGTGGTCGTCCTTAACCCACACTCCTTTCAAATTGAGAGCAGTCAAGTGGTGGCCTTGCTCCATAATGAGCTCAAGGACCTTCCTATAATAGGGGAGAGGAAAGATTCCAGTCGCTAAACTTTTGACGTTTTCTTTGAGCAGTAGTTTCATTGTGTAGTATCTAACGGAGGGTTCTAAATACTCCGAGCTTAGTATTAAGTTAATGAGATCCTGGAATATGTCGTTGGTGGCGCCCATGCTCTCGTAGTACGAGGAGACCATAGCGAACTCCAACGCGGAATCTTCTTCAGATGAAACACGAGACAGGGCGTGGATCAACTGTCTCGCCACTAACGACAGAGTGATCTCCTGTAGCGGCGGCACTGGTAACTTGGGCGACATGTTTGCACAAACTACAGAGGTCCAACTAAATAAAATATCACTTTCACTAATATAACACTACTAAGTCGCACTAATTGAGCATCGCAGTATCAGTGCTGCGGCTTTCAGTTTTGGGAAGAGAAAGAAGTGAAAAATGGTGTAGCTATTTAGCTCACGCATGCGCACCGCGCGGCTGGCACTGCGCCAGCGCACGTTTATAATTCAAACTCACACAACTCGCGCCGTATTTTTAGAACTTTTATAAAAGGTGTTTATGGCTAGTGGCGTATGCAATTGTTATTATAAACTGATTTCGTACATAAAAATTGAGATCTACCGAGCGGTCTCTGCGCGTGAGTAACAACGCCAGTCGCGCGCGTATGAAGCATTCGATGGGTTAATGGTACATTTTTATGTCTGACGTTTACAACTATGTACGTTTAATCGGTGTGTTTTGTGTTAGGTTTATCTCGTATTGATATAAATAAATACGAGGGAACAGTTTCTAAGACATTAATATTGTGACATTTGGAACCAAAACGTTATGTTGTAAAATATCATTACTATTTCTATCGCGTCGCTTAATGAATCTGCGACATTCGAAGTGCGTAGGATAAAATGCGTTTTATTTAAAACTGAAGAATTTAACTTTGTTATTGCACACAAAAATAACACTGTATTTTTAAGACGTGTTATTTTTTAATATGTATCGAGGTTTAATAATAAAAAAAAAACGTTAAATATTTTGTTAATTAAATATATTTATCTCATCAGAAATTACAACGTGGTAGACATTTTTAGAAGAAAAATAGTGTTTATTGACAGGTTCAGACATATTTAAAAGTGGATATTTAGTTATATCTTCCACACTTCAAGGGTGTCACAAAAATTGAAAAATACATTTTTGTTCTAATAATTATATAATTTTTCATCAATACTAACGAAAATTCCTACGTTCTAGATACATTTATTCTTATACAAGTGTGGCTAACAAAACAATTGCTTAATATCTACAACCAGTTTGTTTTAATGAAAAAAAAACTTAAATAAGATACTTGTTTCGATCATTAAGAAGGAAATATATAGGAGTTGCTTGGAAAGTTTTCCGGGAGTTATGAAAATTGGCATTTTTTAGATTTTGATGCGGTCTTTCCAATTTCCATTATGCACCCTCGTACGTGCGGAAACCTGTCTAGACATAAATTGTACAAAAATGTGAGTAGTTAAATTTTATAGGTAACATTTTCACAGGAAGAGATATATTGCAAAATAATACTTTTTGGTCGCCATTTTCATAAGATGGCGGCGCGAGCGGCGCACGTACGAGGGTGCAAAATGGAAATCGGAAAAAGCACATAAAATCTACAGAATTGCCAATTTTCAAAACTCATGGAAAACAATCCAGGTAGAACTATAGTATAATAATATATAATTAGTCCGTAAGTAAGGTAATGACAGAATATAAGACATGTATTTTTTTTATTTTGTCGTATTATAAAACAATACTTAGATAAAACGAATCAAAGTTTAGGAGTGGGGGCTAAAACGTCATTTCTGCGTATAAAAGGATATTACACAACATTTCAAATCAATATATAGTTGAAAGTATTGGTTTCTGTAAGAAAATAAAAAAATACGTGTCTAATGATTTAAAATAATCTACCAGACGGACATTAAAATAAAAATTAGGCATCTACCCTATTACTGAACCTACTTAATTTATTTTTAGATGATTGATTTGACTAAAATGTAATAATTAATTTAAGACAGGTACTCCTACACACACTTTTTTTTTAATTTTTAACTAGGGTTTTCTTTCATGCACTTAGAAACACATACACATCATACTCAGACCAGAATCAAAAATTTTCCTCGAGGACATAAAATGTGACATTTGCACCATGCAGCAATACATTGTATTTCATTCTTGAAAATAACTAATATACTTCTTAAAAACTAGTGTTGTAAATGAGTGCTAGCATAGAAAACAAGAAAGACTGAAAATAATAATTATTCTATTACATATTTAAAAAAAAAATATTTTGTTTTTTTATTTCTTTTTTTAAAACTTATCGTCGTTTTTTTTTCTTATGAAATAAAAATTATAGCTGAACAGTTCAGAAGTGTACAATCTTTTTAGATTCGATCTAAATAAGTTTTTACCTTTACATATTTCAAAATCATCGTTAAGATAGCCACACTTTGAAAAGAAAAAGTCTAGAAACACTTACTTAGCACAGCATTGTCTTAATCTTATAACACTAACGTAAATCTTCACGTGGGTACGGGTAAGTTCTTGGCAACGAGCAGTAGGACCTGTTCAGTGCTGAAGCACCAGTTGGCGATGTCTTTGGAGACTTTACACCAGGCCTCGCCGTGGTGAGGTTCAGCGGCTTTGCAGCGGGATTTCACATCCTCTTGTTGCTGTTCGTTCCCGTGCAATAACTCGAACATGTAGAAATAAGCCCAAGCGTCACCTAGGTCCGGATCGATTTTGACCTGTAAAAGATTTTGAAGTTAGTTTTGATAAGAGTTAAAGGATTTAGATTTGATGTCTTATTTTAATGAAAATATTACAGTGAGTTGTCATGTTGCATAGCCGGTCAATGGGTCTCGTGGTCGATTTACAGGCGGGGAAAAATATGATGAAAATTTTCAAATGTACCTACAATTACAATTGTAATTGTACAAAAGATCTTAATTTACAGTATGCACTTACAATTTAGTGGCTCAAAATAAAATAGGGGGCAAAAACCTAGTTTCTACTGTTTTGAGTCCCATGTCATTTGATAGTCTATTGCAACACAGCGCTTAAAATTTACTAATTGTAGTAAGCAAATAATACGATATTTAACAACTACTCAAATTCAATACTTTTTTCGAACTGTCAAAAACGACAGTTCTCTATGAATTTTGTACGAGATTGTGTAATGTGACGTCACGTTTTTTTGCGTCATCAGCGTACTTAATATTTAAAAATTTTTTGAAAAAATACTAAAATTAAGTTGGTCATAAAATCAATTAATAAAAGTGTATTTTTTTAATATTTTGGTGTATTCAACAGTCGTCAAAGTACCCAACACTGTTGACATTTTAGAAAGGTGTCACCCCCTAATACATGGGACTCATAACATAAATAGTGAAAAGTGGGTGTTACATTATATTGTTATGGCATGACATTAAGGCACTTATGGCGTAATGTGCACCTATGCCTACCCCTTCGGGGACAAAGATGTAAGGTAAGATATATTAGACTCACCGTCCTGTTGAACCACTCCCGGCACTTGTTGAGTTTCCGCTCCGTCCAGAACAGCTGCGACACGGCCAGCAGCACGTGCGCGTCGTGCTCGCACTTCTTCAGCGCGTCCACCTGTACACGATACCAAGCTCATGACACTCGTACAATTAGGTAGTTTCCAGGGTATCAAAATTAAAAATCTAATTAGTCCGTCAGTTAGATAATGAAAAAATATTAAACACGTATTTTTTTATTTTCTCGTATTTAGTTGTAATACTTAGATAAAACGGCGCTAAGTTTAGGAGTGGGAGGCCGTTACGTCATAACGTGCTACAAAATGTGACACGCTGTGACGTCACACGATATTACAAATAAATATAGCGTCGAAAGTATTTAGTTTTGTGAGAAAAGAAAAAATACGTGTCTAAAGTTTTAAATTAATATACCAGACGGACATTAAAATAAAATTTAGGAAACTACGCTATTATGATTTCCATATTACTTTAAAATTTAACCAATTATTTTATAAATAACGATGTTTTAAGTCAAGACGTATTCGAATAAACCGTGCTCTGAGTCGCACACCCTCACTGAGGGCTTACAACGAGTTTCTTTTACGTTTAAAGTAATCGAAACGCGACGGCGTTCGGTGCTCTGATTGGTTTGTTCATTGGAGCCGGCCAATCACAGCGCCGAACGCGTACTCGTTACTATTACTTTAAACGTAAAAGAAACTCGTACTAAGGCCTCTGTGCAATCCCGAAGTCACCGGTGATCGTTCTTCATTAATTCCATTATAGACCTTATTTCCGATGTTTTGAGACTACTTTTGTGTGAAGTAATTTAGGGGATGTTATATCAACGTAATAAACCACGGTTGCGGAATTATTTAGAACTACTATCTGTAATAAGCTATGACGTCAAATGCCAACAAACAATCAAATCTTTCTTATCTTATACTATTATATAAAGCGGAAGAGTTTGTTTTTTGTTTGTTTGTTTGAACGCGCTAATCTCAGTAACTACAAGTCTGATTTGAATAATTCTTTTTGTGTTGGATAGCACATTTATCGAGGATGACTATAGGCTATAAAACATCACTCTACGACCAATAGGAGCCGAGCAGAGCGTGTGAAACCGCGAGGAAGTAGCTAGTTTATAATACTAGTTATAGTTGTTTGAATGAAAATTGAATATCAACTTACGCTCTTAGTCTTCCTCTGTGGTCGAGACTCCATGAATATGGCCTCTGCCCACAGTCGGCCGGCGGTAGGACACTCCTGCAGTGCTTTAGCCATCACTGCGTTGGCTATCTCTGCACTGCCGTTCCTTCTCTCCAGTCTTACACTCTCTAACCTGCATTGGAAAAGAAAATCTTTGAGAAATATTATGTAATATATATGTATAACTATATTATTTAATAATTGCCATTATTTTTTCCTCTCTCTCTCTCTCTCTCTTTGTTGTTAGTTTATTCTCCGTACCTCAGTTTTCACAGATTTTCTACTTAAACCCTAAGGTTGACTAGTAGAGAATGCCATATGGCATTAAGTTCGCCTTATGTGCCATAAACAAATTATGTACATTAAAGAATAAATAAATAAAAATATATCGAACATGAATAACGCACTTAGTTGACTGCCGACGGTGTCTGTCTTCCACGGACATTCCCTACACAATAGGCGTCACTATTATGTAAGTTTTATATGGAGGAAGAAATATTATATTATTATTTATTTTTTAAAGTACCAAATTATGGTTTAATTGACATAAATGCTTTAATTTAGAAGTAAACTCTTTTCTTGGAGGTTTGAATATTTCTACAGTTCTGTATATTTATATACCGCAAAGGACAGTTCATGTTCTACAGTTTTGTTGTGCGAGAATAAGTTTGTGTGTGTGCGAAAAACGCACAGTTGTGGATTGCCAAACTAACTATGTAACTAAATGATAGGAATGAAACTAATACCCTGTGTAAAGATGAGACAGGAATCCAGCACAAACTTATTACTCGAAGCTAACTTTTTGATACAATATTTTTTAAGTTACCGTACACACTAGAATTTCTCCTGTGTCGTGGGTGCATTTACAAACATACAAGTTCACATACACATCGCACCCAGACCAAAAACAACAATTTGTGGATAACACAAAAAGTTGTCCCGTGGGTGAATCGAACCCGTGGCACGTTACGCGGTAGGCGGTTGCCCAGCCACCGCATCAACCGTGCAGTATTTATGTATATTTAAAAACTAGCTTTTACCCGCGGCTTCGCTCGCGTTACAAAAGAATAAAAAGTAGCCTATGTGACATATACCAATACACACAGCGCCATCTATACCAATACTTTTGTTTTTCCTCGGGAATATCAATTTTTTCCGGGTTAAAAAGTTCCCTATTATTTAATTCGGACTTCTAACTTTACGTCTGCAAAAATTCAAAGCAATCGGTTGTGTAGTTACGGCGTGAAGGTGGAACAAACAAACAAACTCACTTTTAGATTTATAATATTAGTAAGGATATTTATTTATAGCTTCTTACCATAATTCAGCTGTTTTAGGATTCCTAAGTCTGGCCTTCTCCAACACAGATCTAGCTTTGGTAACATTCTTCAGTTTTTCTTCAAGTCTCGACAGTAAAATCCACATGGGCACACTCGTTGCACATTTCTTGAGCTGAAATAATAATAAAAATCATGAACAAATTGCGCAGGAACCGGTCTTTCCATATTTTCTGAGTTTTATAGCAGTTGTTTAATGTAAAATACACACATACTGAAATTCAGCCGAATCAGGCTACGACTTACAATCTTAACCTAATTGGAAACGGGCCAAGTGAAAAAAATATTCACTTTTATGTCATCAAAATAAGGATGAAAATAATTTTGTGAATAAATGAGTATTTATAACAAAGAAGTGCTTGCCGTGCGACTAAAGATTCGCCTTCATATTACCTTAAATTTGTAATATAACTGTGTGTTACCTATTCACCTTGTTACAGTTAGAGGTAATTAAAAAACGATAACAAAACAACATAACATCACGCCTTTTATCCCCGAAGGGGTAGACAGAGATGTACATAATGCCACTGTACAATATAACACCCACTTTTCACTATTTATGTTATGAGTCCCATGTAATAGGGGGTGAGCCTATTGCCATATACCGGGCACGATTCCAGACTCTGTGCTACTACTGAGAATTTTTTTAAAAACCCGTCCCGAGGATCGAACCAGAAACCCCTTGCCCGGCAGTTGCACTTGCAACCACTCGGCCAATGAGCAGCATATTATAAAATACAAAAATAAAAACAAGTAATAAATGAATACACTACCCCTTGTGAATAAGTATTGCGTGCTTCTTCATCCTTGTTCATCTGCTCCTCAATTTGTCCCTTCATCATGTGCAACTTCGCATAATCACCAAATACTCTGATAGCTTCTTCTAGAAGTTTCAGCGCGACATCCAAGTTGTTCAGAGCCCATTCCAGTTTAGCGGACTTTATCATCACCTGTAAGGCAAAGAACGTAGTTTAATACTTATTGGGTTCCTAAATATTGAACAAAATGTAGGCTGGATGTATAGTATGCTTAACCAGGTTGCTTTTATGAAATTAACAGTTGATTAAATGCAGTACATTGAGTAAAAGTAATCTAAATCACAAAATATTCAAGGATTTTTTTTTTGTTTAATATGTTGCCCCACACTAGGATTTTCTCCTGTGTCGTGTGTGCGTTTACAAACATACAAGTTCACATACACATGACACCTAGACCCGGATCAACAATTTGTGGATCACACAAAGTGTTGTTCTGTGCGGGAATCGAACCCGCGACACGTTGCACGGCAGCCGGTTGCCCAGCCACCGCACCAACCGTGCAGTCAAATCACGATTAAGCTTGTATCTTTATACATTATGAGCTTCATATTATTTTATTCCAACAAAAAATAGCTATCTATGATGCTACATATTTTATTGGAAATTATTTAATAAAGAAGACTTATTTTAAAGACTATAGAAATAAAAATGTAGGTATAACTTACCCTCGGCGTAGGCGCAGACGCACGAGCTTTAGACAGCAGTCGTCTCGCTCTGTCGTACTCTTTGTTCTCACTCTCCAACTTGACGGCAGCCAACCAGATCTCTTCAGAATTGGGATTGGCTTGAAACGCCAGGGATAGAATCCCTCGCGCCGCTGGTACGTCACCTGTGGAGAGGAGAGGGTATAAATATTATTACTTATTTTTAGTCCCAAATATTATATAGTCTGTGGGATAACATTTTTAAAGTAGGTAATATATATTTTAATACAAAGTTTCTAAAGCAGCTAAATAATCATAAAAACGGGTCTTAACAAGAATGCGATCTTAACTGCTCAATCCCCAAGCGGTCACCGGTGACCTCTCTCCACTAACTCCATTATAGACCTTATTTCCGATGTTTAGAGACTACTTTTGTATGAACAAATTTTGGGCATTTTCGGCTCAATACATTAACGAATTTATAAAGATGTATTAAAATGTCGTTATACAATGTCTAAGCGATAGATATTACACTTAGCGAGGTGTTCTTTATAAAATACTGATATTCAGCCCGATGTGGTTAAGATATTTCTGTTCTATACCTATATCTATACTTATAATAAATCTGTAGAGAGGTCAATTCTGTACATAAAATATATTTAAAAAATAACTATCAAGGGGTAGGGTGGACGAGGGTAGGTAAATTCGTCAAAGGTTAAGGGTTGCGGCCCGCGCTACCGTGATATTGTGACTCATCTTGTCAAATTTCAAATGGGGGAATACAACCAATCAATCATGACTCAAACCCATTGTTGAAACAATCGAATTTTCGTGTTTCTTTTCAAAATTAGTTTCTTATGTAATAGATATTTCTGACCATAGTTAGTAAATAAGAAAGTCAATAAAAAAACATGCATCATATGGGACTTAACTACACTCATAACATAAAATAGTGAAGTATAAAATACAGTGGGTACCTACCTACAGTGGAATGAAGTGCCGTAATGTGCACCTCTGCCTAGCACTTCGGGGATAAAAAGCGTGATGTTATGTTGTGATAAAAAACATTCACACATTCAAACACTACCCTATAAAACTAATACACTACAATATATTTTAACTACCCATGCATTTCACCACGATAATATGTAGGTATTAGGTTACTTTATGCAACTACAAAAGCAATGCTTTTAACAAAATTGCCCTAGATATTTCATAGGACCTAAGTAATGAAATATGTATAAGGAACATGACATTGCAATCCCTAAGAGACTGAATAGGAATGATTTGCATGAACACACCTACTAACACTGAAAATTAAACTCTACACACATTAAACTGTCAAACACCAAGCGGTCACCGGTGACCGCAACCTATCTATACTTATAATAAATCTGTAGAGAGGTCAATTCTGTACATAAAATATATTTAAAAAATAACTATCAAGGGGTGGTTAGGGATCGCTACTGATGCCAAAAATGCAATCAGTAAAATTTTTGTCTGTCTGTCTGTCTGTCTGTATGTTCGTTATGGAAACAAAAACTACTCGACGGCTTTTAACGAAATTTGGCACAATTATTCTTCATACTCTTGGGCAGGTTATAGTATACTTTTCATTACGCTACGATCAATAGGAGCAGAGCAGTGAAGGAAATATTGGGAAAACGGGAGAAGTTACTCCATTTTTTAAGCTTCCGTCGCGTTTGCAGGCTTATAGGTTAAAGCTACATAGAAATCATGTATGACGGAAATATTCTCCTTAAAATTATATAAAAAATATTCCTGGAGAGCATATGTCTATCTTTTATGGTTGACTCACAATAACACGTGAAACTCCCGATAGCCAAGCAACTCGGTGATTTCTGATTGTATTTGTCTACTCTAACGTTTACAATACTCATTCATAGAGTTTACGCTGTAACTGAAAGGCCAATGGTTGATTTTAGCTTGACTTGATGTTGATTTGAGCTTATTATAAATGAAAATATGTGAGTTTATGTGTATGTTTGTTACTCAGTCATATTAAACCGACTTAAGGGACCAGAATGTAATTCGGAACAGAGGTAGATTATGGTCCGAAGTGATACATAGGCATTTTACCCCTGGGATCGCGGGCGAAGCCGCTGGCAGAAGCTAGTTTAAAAATAAAGAAGTGAATAAAATGAATGAAAATAACAAGACCAACCTGCCAACCACTTAGACTTGGCTCCCATTAGCCACAGCACCTCAGACTTGGGACAATGAGCCACGGCTCGTTGTAGTAGAGCTTCCAAACTAGCACGGGTGCCATGTTGCTTCTCCAAGTACGCTGCCCGCAGCCATATTGATTTTTTGGAGGGAAAAACTGACAGAGCATACCCGTACACTGCGCGGGCGCACTCGTACGCGCCTTCATTCGCGCACTGGAAAAAAATGAGCATTTATTTATTTATGTTACATGATTTTATGATAAAATTACTTAAATATTATGGCAAAGATAACAAAACTGTAAAAATGTAAACTTAATTCTCTGATCAAGACCCAAGCAGTCACCGCTGACCGGTCTCCAATCACTGCATTATAGAACTTATTTCTGATGTTTAGAGACTATTTTCGTATGAACAGTTTGTGGAGATTTTCGGTTTTATTTTTTTTAAGGGGGGAAAATCATCGAATGACTGCTCCCACCTGGGTGAGGCGGGAGGGAGTGTCAGACTCTTACTGACTAAAAACCACCCCGTTCCTTCTCCTGCACGTTGAGCCGGAGCCCCGGTTACCCGTTAGGTTCTCCGCGACGGAGATTTTCGGTACGATATCTCAAGTGATTAAGATGGGTTTGAATTTTATTTAATTAAAAAGATACTCACAGCTTCTGCATCCTCCATCCACGTGTGTTTCTGGTCTTCAGGTTCAATGCCGTGTCCTATCACCGCGCGTATAATGGCCTGTAGGACAAAGTTACATTAAAGTGATTTTAGAAATACTATAAAGATTTTTAAGATAGGTAGGTACTAATACATACACTTTTAGCTGTTCATATTAATATCATCATATCAACTATGACGTCTTCTGATGAAAATAGGCCTGATTCTGATGAATAAAATACTTCCAGATAGGCCGGTTGAAATCGATTTTCATCCTGTGGATTCTTGCTACCTTAATAGGGTAGATGCCAAATTTTTATTTTAGTGTCCGTCTGGTAGATTGTTTTCAATCATTAGACACGTAAGTTTTATTTTCTTACAGAAACGATTACTTTCGACGATATATTGATTTGAAATGTCGCGTGACGTCACTTCTATTTACATTTTATACTTAGAAATGACGTTTTAGCCCCCACTCCTAAACTTTGATTCGTTTTATCTAAGTATTGTTTTATTATATGACAAAATAAAAAATACGTGTCTAATATTTTTTCATTACCTAACTTACGGAGTAATTAGATTTTTAATTTTCATACCCTGTCATCATCCCAATTGTACCTATATACCAACGATTAAAACAAAAAATGATAACATTCGTTCCAAACCTGGCAAGTGTGTACTGCGCCGGACTTTTCAGCTTCCATGGCCTCCTTGAACCAATGCTCGCGGTTGATCTCCACTCCATTCGCGCTCAACGAGGTGATGGCACGATCTATAATCTTCTCCACCATATGCGTGTTACCTGAGGAAAGGAATTAGTTTACTATTTATTTTGTAAAGTTTCTTGTTTTTATTAAAGTATTATGTATTCATGACTAGTTTTATTTATTATGTTATAATAACTATCGTCAGATATACTAAATTAACTAAAATCGCGGGTTACTCACGTGAATATACGGAGAAAAGCTCTACTAGTTTCGAACCACAGAGGGGTTCTTTCTCATGAGCAGCGTGCGCGGTCGCGGCGACGTCGCGCAGCGCACGCTTTTCGCAGTATACTCACGCGAGTAACCAGTGATTTTAGTTATTCATGACTTCTTTTTTTATTCACGCAAATAAATTAACTAAACGAATTGATATTTTTTCTATTACAAATAATTTTCATTAGAAATGTTTGTCGATAATAGCGCGTTCGACTAACATGAAAATAATTTTATAAAAGCATAAGAAAAATTGAAGTTAACATAAAAATCTCATCATATTATCAACAACAGATGACATATTGAAACTTAAACGCTACAAATTAGACATTAAAGTATAAAATCAAGCTCACCATGTGCCTCTTCAAGCTTGGCAGCAGTTACCCAAATCTGTCTATCAGTAGGTATATTCTCACGAGCTTTGTTGAGTACTTTTCTTGCATTCTCGTAAGTTTCCAATCTTGCCAATGCGAGCCACAGTTCGACACTAGTATGGCAACACTCCACGGCCCTGGACAATAGGATCCGAGCGTCCTCTGGGTTTTCCAGCTCAACTGCAGCTTTCCATAAACGGACTGAGTTAGGTATGTGTTCCAAGGCTTTGCGGTAGACTCGGCGTTTTGCCTGTAAAGTAAAGATTATGAATATTAATGATAGCAAATAACTTTATGAGTCTGCAAAAACAGAAATTGAACTTTGGGGACTCCAGCTACTCTGTACACAGATACTCTATAATAGCCAATGGAGTGGGTTTAATGACCTCATTCCTTACACAGATTACCTATAATCTGTGTAAGTAATTGTATGAAATAAGAGCGTCTGATTGGAGAAAACGGAAAAAGACATGAAAAAGGCATAGATTAACATTCGAATCAAATCTATGTGTGCATCTTTCAGCAAGTATATAAAGAAATATTACCTTAGTCTCCTGTTCCAAATCGGCGGCTTTGACCCATATGCGGACACTGTGCGGCAGGTTCCTGGCCGCGTGCGCGATGACGGCGCGCGCCGTGTCGCGCGGCTGCAGGCGCGCCGCCTCCAGCCACAGCTCCTCGCTGCTCGGGTTCACCTCGCAACCCTTCATTATCAAGTTACGAGCTGATTGGACCTTACCTGAAATAACAAAAAAAAAACATTAACACGGTCATGAACAAATTTCAATATCAAGATCAAGATGCCAATATCAGTACCAGACTTTTCAAAACGGAACTTAAAGTGGGAGCAGTTTACGACACAAAATAAATTGATATTTATTTGTAAATAACTTATGAATTGGCTTTAGATGTCTGAATTGTCACACTGAATGTAAGTAAATTAATTAGTATAAACAAATAATTAATTAAAAGACATATACCTGTAACTTCTTCCAACCTCGCACTAGCGATCCAAGCAGGTGGATGGTTAGGGTTAGTCTCTCTGACAGACTTCAACAACAACCTGGCCTTCTTAATATCATTTATATCACCACCGTAAGTAGGGATCATGGACTGCAAGTCTGTCAGATATCCCTTCGGATCCACCACAGTTTGTCCAGTTACCGAGTCCGATACTTGTGACAGTTTCACTGTCATCAAAGTGTTACGAGCTTGACCTATCTTTCTCAAATCCAGGTCACCTAGAAAGGAAAAATAAATTGTTATTACCAATTTTCGATCGCTTTGTAGCAATTCTATAATTATTGTTCATTTTCTTAGACTGCAAGGAGAGAGAGAATATGAGCTAATGATATTTTAAAATGATATAAGAGCTTTAAAAGTCATCATAACATTTAAATAATATGTAATAATGAATGCTGAGTTATAGAGTAATATACAGCAACAAGAATAGTCCTTACCAGATGGGGTCAACATGCCAGGAGTCATGACTCCAGGCATCATTGACGCCAGTCCAGACCCAGGGTCGATGGATGAAGAAGATTCTCCACCCAAATTCCTGGACAGTACACTGTCAGGCAACGGGGTAAACTTCTCTGCTCTAGGGTTCCTCTGTTTCCTGTTACGAGCATCACCCACTTCAGGAATCGCTGACCATTCATCCTCGGACACTGATTTCAATTCTCGTTTTAAATCTGAGAACTGTTGTTGAATTTTTGGTCTGAAAAGAAAGATAATAGCTTTATATGAGGCATATTGTGTGATTTTATTATAGTAGACAAGCTTCTGTCAGCAGCTTTGCCCGCATTCCTTTGGGATAGAAAGTGGTCTGTGTCATCTCGATCCTTTCAGCCGTTTTGTTGTGAAAGTAACAAATATAGACACATATCTCACATTTTCGCATTTATAATATTAGTAGGATATGGCTAAAGAAAGATAAATTGAATGCAGTGTTTAGTTAGCTCACAAAATAATTTAAATTGTATTTGTAAGGGGTCATTAGTTTAAAATTTCAAAGGAACTTAAATTAGTTCTCTCACAAAAAAGAGGTGTTGCACTAAACATTCTATACAGCAGCTGTAGCAAAATGTCATTTAGCACTTGTCTTTTTTTAAGGGGGGAAAATCATTGAATGTCTTCTCCCGTCTGGGTGAGGCGGTAGGGAGTGTCAGACAGACTCTTATTGACTAAAAACCACCCCATTCCTTCTCCTGCACGTCGAACCGGAGCCCCGGTAACCCGTTAGGTTCTCCGCAACACATGTAGTATAAAAAACCAAATTATATGGAATTAACGTAAACTGTGACACTCGTCAGTGTCATCCCCATACATTTTGATTTCTACTCACTCTCTCTGTAGACAAGCTGTAAAGTGGCGTTTGGCTAAACGCCCAGAAAAGAAATATATAAAAATGTCAATTCAATATCTCACCTCTCTTGACGGTATCTCTCCAAGTCTTCCTTGAGCCGTTTCTCCCTGTATTCCTTCCTCTTCTCATCCATTCTTTTGTCAATAGACTCGTATATAGCATCGGCTTCAGCATCATCTTTGTCGTAAGGGTCCTGAAAATGGAAAATATACCTATTATTAAGATTTTTCATACCACTACTAGGTATAAATTTATATAGGTATAAACTTTTACAATTTATACAAGCTATCTATAACAGTATATGGTTAAGATTGGTGATTTTGAAATTCTACACATTTTGTTACAAACAAACATTAACTTTTCTCAGTGTTTATGATATTAATCCATGGTTTGCTGGAACATAAACCTAAGCCAGACAAACATAATGGAACTAACTATTTTCAGTTTTTTCTTAAAAAATAACAGCCATAGAAACATGACAGGAGTAGGCAGAGGTGCACATTACGACACTTAGTACCATTATAAAATGTAACTTTCCACTATTTATGTTATGACTCCCATGTACAGGTGAGCCTTTTAAATATGTTACTCATAAAACATACCTTGGAAAACAATGAACCACTGTATCCTGAGAATTCATCATAATTGGAGTCATTCAAATCCTCATCATCATCTTCCTCCTCGGTTTTCTTGCGTTTGGCAGCAGGGGGTGCATGACGATCATCACTAAAAAGTAAAAATGACAAGTTTATTACAAAATACTACATAGAAGAGTAGTAATCATTACATATTTCTTAAATCCAATTTCAAAATATGTTGTAATATGGTTTACTTACGAGACATCGTTCGCATCTCTGGCAGGACCGATATCTGATCTTGTGGTGAAACCAGTCGCTCTGTAAAGGAAATCAAATGGTTATTTATATGTTAAAGTTTACAGAAGTATATAATCAAATAAATAAACAATACGTACCCTCGACCAACACCAGCAACATAACCTAAGGGCGCGGGGATACCCAGGAAATGTTTTTTGTTTTTGTTTACAAACGCCTGTGGAGGCACCGACATTTTCGATCCAAACACTGATTGAGCACAATATTAATAAATAAATTCTACAACTAATCACCTCTTTTTTATTATTTCACTCTAGATATACACAATTTCTAATTTATTTTCGCTTTGCTTTCCACTCGTAAACTCTTCGATATCGTCGATTTTGACGTTTAGTAAATGTCAATGTCAATTTCGTTGACATTTTCTAGTAGGTGTTACCAGTTCTCTCGTACTATTTTTGGTTGCCCTATAAAAAAGCAAGGGTTTTCGCAGAAAACCGGTATTTTCCGAAATTACGTTCATTCCACCCGCTCTATAAAAGTTATTTCATTGTCTATGATTGTTGCCTAGCAACGAAGAGTTGTATTTTGAATAAAATTTAGAAAAAAAATAACCGAAGAACTCAGCTGAAGCTATTTTGTTATTATTTCGAGTCTTTTGATTTCACTTATTCGTTATTAGGCTTACTAAAGTTCAAGACATTGTGAACGTCATGGCACAGAGTTTGATTGCAATTACTCAGGAACTTGGTTCGAATGATAACAGCAACAGCATATCGACTAAAGAATTTTTGCAATTTGAAAAGACTTGTGAAGCGTACAAAGATGATGACGAAGAAATTAAAATGATTTTTAACGAAATTAAGAAATTATCGGCACACAACAAGCCTGAGAATGTGATAAGTGAAGATATTGATGATGTTGATTTCATTCTAAAAAGGGCTGAAGATATTGCACAGGAAACTGAAATTTTACTCAAAAGCAGTCCTAAGTCAACAGCAAAGAGTATCTGCAGCCCAAACAAGAGTGAACCAAGTGTTATTCCCCAAATCAAAGTAACAAAACCCTGTGAGAATGAAAAGGATGTGTCAGAGCATAAGGAAAATAATACTAAGGTAAGCAACTTGCAGACCGATTTTATTATTTATTATTTCTACTTATAATCCACTCTTCTAGTAAATGCATGATATATACTTAAATAAAATGATTCTACATGTCAGAAAAAAACAGAATATTTTAAAAATATTTATTCTTAAAACTATATTGCTGAACAGCCTTACATTTCTTGTATTCAGCCTTCTTTTTTTTTAAGTCTTATTTGAATAATGAGACTATTATCCTAAGTACCTATTATTTGTACATTCATAAGTAGGAATGTTTTAAGTTAATAAATAATTTATACATACTTAGTATGCAATACAGATTATATTTTGCCCAGATATCTGGCTAAGACTCTGACACCGGCTATGTTTTCTCTAGCTACAGGTTCAATATAAGTTGCTGGCAACACAAAGCCATAACGACCAGTGTCACTCAGTTCAATAGTGTAGGTGTACTTGATGTTCTGGGACTTGGCCCAGTCGTCGGAGCCACCGGAGGCTGGGTAGAGTAGTCCGCTGGATGACCCAACTTGATAGCTTGATCCTCCTGTGTTTTGGATTGCCTAAAAGAACAAAAACAAAAATTATTAGTTAACTATTTTATTTGAATAGATAGTATTTGTAGTTGATATACTTAAACTAATTAGAACGGAATAATGGTTAGATATTGAATGCTTAATCTCTTACCTGAGCTATGAGCTTGCCCATGGTTTCAAGGTCCTTGTGGTCTGGTGGCAATGCATTGTCATATCCCCATGGGTACAGCAAGTACTGTCCATAGCTATGGTATGTCAAATAGGCTGAGAATTTCACAGCAGTGCTCTTGAAGAAATCCTGTAGAACAGATGTAATTAAATTAAACTTTAATGTGTGTAGAGTTTAATTTTCAGTGTTAGTAGGTGTGTTCATGCAAATCATTCCTATTCAGTCTCTTAGGGATTGCAATGTCATGTTCCTTATACATATATTACTTAGGTCCTATGAAATATCTAGGGCAATTTTGTTAAAAGCATTGCTTTTGTAGTTGCATAAAGTAACCTACTACCTACATATTATCGTAGTAAAATGCATAGGTAGTTAACATGTAGTGTATTAGTCATGTAGTGTTTGAATGTGTGAATGTTTTTATCACAACATAACATCACGCCTTTTATCCCCGAAGGGGTAGGCAGAGGTGCACATTACGGTACTTCATTCCACTGTAGGTAGGTACCTACTTCACTATTTTATGTTATGAGTGTAGGTAAGTCCCTTATGATGCATGTTTTTTATTGACTTTCTTATTTACTAACTATGGTCAGAAATACATAAGAAACTAATTTTGAAACGTTACACGAAAATTCGATTGTTTCAACAATAGATTTGAGTCATGATTGATGTAGTTGTATTCCCCTATTTGAAATTTGACAAGATGAGTCACAATATCACGGTAGCGCGGCCGCAACCCTTAACCTTTGACGAATTTACCTACCCTCGTCCACCCTACATAATCACAACCAATACTATCTTTGTAATACGACACAAAATTATTTGTCGAATATACCTACAGTTTGTTTTATACAAAATCCATGGTTGTCTGTTAGAGAATGCCACCCCGCAGTAACTCCGTCATCGTACCTATCTATGTTATTGTACAGAAGTGTAAATAAAAATCCTACCTACCTGTAAGTAGATAACTTACTAGAGTTGTTCTTCCGACTAAGAAATACAAACCTAATAATAATAATAACATTCTTTGGACAATGTAGGTACCTACCTACCTAGTTCTATGAAAAAAATATCCTAAAAATACTTATTACGAAAAAATTACAATTTCCACAGTCGTTCCCTATTCACGGATAAAGTATTGTTAGGATTAGACAGAGTTAACTACACAAACTTTTCTGAAGACCTAGGTGTAGTTTGACTTAATATTATTATGATTTAAAAGATCTAAAACCTAAGATATCACCCCTTTCACCTTGTAAAGCCTACCCAGCTTGTGTCAGTTCTTTAGTACCTAGGTATGGTCTACCATACCAAGCTACTAAAGAACTATTATTGTCTGCAAAGATGACTTACGTTAATAGCTTTAGATTCTGGTTCAGAGAACGGTCCACTGCCACGGTAAATGTCGCTGCATGGATAAGTAGAAGATCCTTTTCCTCCCCAGCGGTATCTATTGGACAGAAAACAATTTGACATTAGCCTGATTCAGGGCCGTGTGCGTGCGTACACGTGCACTATACTTTTTTTTATGGAATAGGAGGCAAACGAGCAGACGGATCACCTGATGGTAAGCGATCAGCGCCGCCCATGGACACCCGCAACACCAGAGGAGCCACAGGTGCGTTGCCGGCTTTTTAAAAAGGAATACGCTCTTTTCCTGAAGGTTTGAAGGTCGTATCGGTTCGGAAATACCGCCGACTAATACGTAAAAATTAAATAAATACTACCGTATACTGGACGTACCTTTCTCTTTTGAGAATTCTCCATAAATATGAATCTGAATCTGAATGAATAACGATCTAACTCTAACTTCTCGCCTGATTAGTTATTGCGTGTGTAAGAATTTGATTTTCTTTCTTTCTATAGCACCAAAAGGTAGACTCATAAACTTAGAGCAAAATTACTGGGTCCAAAATACTCAACTTAATAAAAGGAAAGTTTTTAAATTTTTAGGAATAAACAAGTTAACTAAACTTTATACAATTTTACGTGACAAAACAAATAGTTTTCTAGTTACGAACTTTTCTCATTATTTGAAATAAGCACGTCATGTCGTGTACAGGGCCACAATAGTTAGCCTTGGCACAACAACTAACTGGTCACTTTTGATGAATATCATTATTTAGATATTTTCCTGGTGCTAGGTGTTATTGCACTTTCAACCAAGTTGCACACTTACACTGGTTCAAAATCTTAAGCACATTGTTTTTAAACGGTCCATATTACAGTTTTAGAATAAAGACAAAATTCTGTTTTTAAAAATGTACTATCTTTTCTAGCATAAACTTACCCAAAGTTTCTGTTAAGATCTGTGCCCGTACAAGAACCGGCCCCAAATCCGTATTTTCTGTTCTTGCGCCATAGACGATCAGTCTTGTGCGTGTAATCATATCCATCAGGATTTACAACCGGCAAGAAATACCTAAATCAAACAATTAATTCAGAAAAATATTCTCCATACAAAAATGAGGAAAGAAATATTTAGAAAATTTTATAGATAAGTATTAAACATTCGTACCAGTCAATGTTCTTGATGTCATCGGATTCGACGTCAAAGTTTTCTGCGAATTGATTGATGAAGTAGGTGACAACTGCAGGACTGATCCACTCTCGTGCATGAATACCTCCGTCAATAAATACGGCTTTGTTGCTAGGTTTCCCGTCTGAGATTCGTAACATCTAGGTAATAAACAAAACCTCTGTTTACAAATTAAATAATAATTTATTCAATTAATAAAGTTTTTCTGCTATCGTTACTCCCTCTAGTAAAAAAATCATTCATATTAATTAATGTAATTTGGATAAACATAATTGTTGTTCATTTTAATTATAATCGCATTTTCCTGCTAAAACAAAATGCATACTTTCCTACCCTATCATTGGTGTACTTAAATTGTCTGTCATAAATTCGTTCCTTCATTTATATGGTTTGATGCAATTAACATAATATTGATTATTTACTTCAAGGAAACTATAATATTAGCTTTATTTACCTTAAGGTCGCGGCCTTCAAAGGATTTTCCAATAGTCTTCACACTGATGATAGAAGGGTAGGTTTTTGCTAAATAGTCCATAAACCCGTGAATATCTTCCAGTCTATGGTACTGCTTCCATGTCATACGGTGACCTGAAATGAGATTCTACATTAAAACTTAGTAGAAGCACATTTCGACCATCTTCCATAAACTCCGTTTAATCACACGATTCTCCCAACTTGCGAGGCCTCTTGCTTCCAGATTCCAGATTAGTGACGAAAAGAAAATCCTTCCAAAAATATAATTTGAAAACTGTTAGGGAATTAAAAGAAGAATAAACTGTTAGATATTTCCAGATCCAAAAAGTTAGACACGCCATGTGAATTTAGAACCAAATTCATTAAAACAAAGAAGTGCATAACAATAGTGATTCGGTGCCGAACAACAACAACGAACCCCAATTAGCATTTGGCCAATACTCCATGGGAAGGTTGAGAGAATTATACCCCATGTAGGCACTTATGAAACCTATTCGGCGATGAGATGCCCTGTAACGCCAAAAATTGTAAGCTCTTGCTGGAACAAAATTACATCGACCCTTGGAATATTGTTATTATATCTTTCAAAACGCTGAAAGGAGATCACTTTATTAACAATACAAACCTCTTCTATCCTGAAGCTCCAATTCGTTCTCATCCAAAGGTGGGTTTTCTTCGTTAATTCTTTGTTGCAAATCTTCAATCATGACGTAATATGAAATGTCTTTAGTTTTTAAAACAGCTGTCACGTTTTCTAGAGCTTTTGGCTTGACAAGTATATCGATTGACGAGTGGTTTCCTCCCCATGAAGCTATCACTGCAAAATAATTGAACTCTATATTAAGATTTCTTATTCAACTAAAAAGTAGAAAGTAATTATTAAACAATGACAAACTAAAATCTTACATTTTTCAGATGCTAATTGGTTAATAACACGTTGAGCGCTATTTTTCATTGAAACTTTCCATACTTGGGCACCTGTGTAATCTATTCTCTCGACTTCATCTTTTAATGTCTCTATAGGTTTATCGTCACCAGTAGCTTTGTCCTCGTCAACAACGGCAGGAACAAGTATTTCTTCATTTTTAGTGACTCCGCCCTCTGTTGACTCGGCAGATTCAACTTGATTAAATGGTTGTTTCAATGAGCTCTTCTGGGCCATTCTGAAAAAAATCGTTGTTGTTAATAAGTCATACGTTAATTGCAATTACATTCGTCTTTGTATGATCGTGACTTATTATCCATCATCAACGTATCACATGTTTTGTTTAATCGTAATGTATAGTTAATTTGCACTAATGCCGCTTTTTGCTGTCAGGTAGATAATTTAAAATATAGGGAGTACAATCATGTATAGATGGTCAGATAATAAATGCTTTTGTCTGTATTATTTCACTGCAGATTAACTATGATCATTGTTTTTACACGATGTTTTACGGTTTTGTTTTGGTGAATGAATGAATAGTGTTATAATGTAGTAGCAAGGTCAACTTCAGCTGTTGTATTTTGAATAATAGCATCTGTAAATCTCGGCTCGGAGTTTTTATTAACACTAAAAACCAAAGGAGATCAATTAAGCTGATTCACTAAATAAATATTAAACAATTTTCCTGGTACAACAATACTTCCATACATTGAGTGTAAACGATTGTATTTTTTATTTGAATAAGAACACGTAAAAGGTGTGAGCGATTTCTACAATAATTTACTGCGGATGCGAACACTAACTATAATATGTTTTAAGTTTTTAAGTACCGATAGCGACACATAACGAATTGATAATAGAATAGATTAGAATGCATGGCTCGTGTCTCCTGTGACATGTTTAATGACTTTCTCTGGCCACGGCTTGTTTTCCATTCGTGGCTGGCCTGATCTTGGCCGGTCTAACGGTGTATGTCGAACTTGAACTGAACTTACCCAAGGGTTTCCGCGACTTTCAATATTAGATTTTGATCACGCATTTCGAAGGCAACATTGTGCACTGAATTGAGATGGGCTGAATAAGTAATGACTATATTTATAATACAACAATGTATGTCATTTGTATTCTTTCGTGTCCTTACTTTTTGAACTCTAAATATAATATTCATAGAGTATACAGTAAAATGATGGAAAATAATAAGTTAGGTCAACTGAATCTAATTCATTATAATCGATTGAATTATTATGTTGATTAAAATAATTGTAAAATGTGCCTAGTGTTTTTTTAATTAAGTACATCATTGTTTGAAATACGCAAATTAGCTTATTAAATAAATTGAGCCTTTCATACCTTGTCCTGGCGGTAGTTTATTGATGAACGGGGTACATAACACGGAGGATGCGACGCACAGGAACACGACTGTCTTCGTCAAGGACCCCATGGCTACTGACGGTGCGGGCGCTCTGCCGCAGGTGATCACACTGATGCGTTTGCGCACATCGATTGCCTCTTTTAAGCTCCGATAAACATGCCGGTACTGATAACTTGAGATACAAACTACACTTGACCAGGTTTAATAATACGGAGTGAATCATGGTGTTCTTACATAAGTAGGCATTCTGAAAAATATGTTCACGTAATTTGTTTAAAGATGTATGTATGTACTTGATTATACTATAATATTGTAAGTCCTCCTCATGACAATCTAAAAGTTCAAAGCCTTATCAATTCTTAACTTTTTTCTCAGTATTATTTTTTGAAACGTGCTTTTAAGGTTTACGCGTTTCGCACATTCATTCTTTTTTTCTTTCAGAGCTTCATTAGTTTGTTAAATGTTTTAAGTACTCTAATGGTGATTATGCTATTTGTACGTCGACATTTAATTAAATAGAGTCAGCTCCTGCAGTAAAGTATAACTTTTGTCTTTTGACAATAATTTATTTTATAAGCAATTAGAAGCAATAGGTTTGTCTATATTGGTTGTTTCCAGTGCGCACCAACACCTGATAAATAAAAGCAATCCGATAAGAGGGCGTTTAAATACAATTTAATTAGGTACTAATTTAATCAAGATATAATCTTCTTCTCATAAAATCCTAAACGTATGATGGCAATTCTTTTTACGATCAAATTCTCTTAAATTTATTTTCACGCATTAGATTCAGATCAACATTTGCAAAAATGCGTCATCTCATCTATAGGTACTGTATTTGTTTAGAACCAGCCTGACAACTTTTCTCTCGACCTGCGCGGGCGCCATGCCCGGTCGTTGCCACCAAGTTGCAGTTATTTAACTTTGATGACAAACTTTGTTTACTGTAAACACGTTTTTAACGATTTATTTATCTAATGGTCATTTCACGGCTATGGCTCGAATAACTTGTGCTTAAACTTTATCTTTATTGGTCTATCACTTAGTGTCGATTTATTGTTTGTGTACTAAATGTTCCATACATAGCATACGAGGTTATGTGAGGTCAATCATCCATTTTAAAGTTTCTAGAATCTATGTTATTTTAATACAGCATAATATTAAGAAAGCAGAGAGTTATGTACTTGTATTAGTAATAATCGTAAAATGTGTTTGTAGGTTAACCAGTATGCTAAACAAAATGCTAAGGAAAACACTGAAATACGCCGTAAGCCAAAGTTAAGGCCTTTCTCCGCGGGCGTCATCGATTCAAAGAAACGCGAAACAAATAAGATTACAAAGTCAGTTACAAATTCTCCTAAGAAGACGGTTAGTTGTAAACACGATAATTTGGTAGAAGAATTAAAGGACACGACGGAAAGAGCAAAAAGCTTAGAGTTGTTAAATGTTCAACTAAATGATGACAATAAAACGTTAAGGAAGAAATTGGAAGCTATCTCTGAGGAGAAACATGTTGCGGAATTGAAGTTAGCTGAATGTGAAAAGTTTGTAGGGAGATTAAGTAAGGAATATGAGAATAAGAGCACAGAATTAAAGAGCATTAAGGAAAATGAAAATAAAATATTAGCGGAACTTCAAAAAGAACGGAATGATAGGAAAAATCTGACCATACAACATGAGAAGGACATTGTTATCATACACGACTTACAACGCCAAGTAAAAGAAATGGAGATGATATTAAGAAGAAAACATCCAGACTCTGTGTCAGCTTTGATCGGTGAGTCACATACTTTTTAATACCTCAAGTTCTTCCTTTGTAGTCGTTTATTGAAATTTGATTCTCTTACAGTGGCTTCAAAATCGTCAACAGTAGAAGATAACAAGAAAAAATTATTGGAAGAACGTATTGCCAGATTAGAGCAAGAACTTAAGGACAAGGAGGACCATTTTCAGGGCATATTATTGACGTTACAAGAAAAGTTTGGAGACATGAAACAAAAATACGAAAGTCACATTATAGATGTTGAGAGACAGCTAATGGATGACCGAAAAGTCAATACTGAATTGAAGAACAAGTTGAATAAACAAAATCTAGTCGATGCAGCTACTCAAACTGTAACAAAGAGTAAACATACGATATCAACACAAACCTTCATTAAACCAGACAGGGCATCGTCTGCAGTAAGCAGACTGTCACAAAATTCGGCTTTAATTTTAAATAGGTTAAAAGAGGACAGTTATTTAGTAGCTACCATAAAAGGGTTGCAATCTGAACTCACAGTCAAACAACGGACTATTGCTAAGATAAACAGAGAGACTGAGGAATTAAGGAAAAACTTACGGAATCTACAAAAGGAAAAAGAAGGTATGTTTGAAAAGGATAACGTTTTTACTTAAAGTTTCGATTTTTAAAGTGTTTTCTTTTTTTTGTAATCAGCTGAGTTTCTTCTTGTTGTTGACAAGCAAAGGACGTTAAATTCCATTTCACTTTTACATTTCGTGGAACTTCTCTGGTTTAATTTACATACAATAAATTACTGACTCGTCAACCGTGTTGCTTACGTGTGCTTTTCACGTAACACTGTTGGAATATAAAGCGTTAGCAGTAACTATCAAATTTTTCGAAACGGTACCTCTATGTGAAATAACATTCGCGCGAAAACTATGACTCATCTTGTTCTCATAGTTGGCTTGGTCGTCAAATGGTAGTTAATGGAATTATAATGTGTTTCCTTTGTTCAGTGTTTTTTCTTCTAAATTGTGTATAGTTTTATATCTAGGTGACTGGAACATTGACACTTGGACAATAAGCCCTACTCATAAGCGTGTTTAAGATACGAGTTTATAGTTCATTTTACGACTTGTTTCTTTTAGTGTTGCTTAATCTACATCCGCACAAGAAGACTAGTAATAGAAGCAAGTCAACTGAGAATATATTGGCAAGGATGAACACGGAAATGGAAGCCGAACTAGCGGAAATAAGGACACAAAAGGAAGTGCTAATGCAAGAACGGAACACGTTACTCGATTCATTAAAACGTACGAATGAGGAATTCATATTGTTGAAGAAGAAACGGATTCAAGATGTAAGTTATTTTGGAATATGTTAATGTCATTATATTTAGCGTTTAGAGTCTCCCCCCATTTTAATAAGTGTTAATTTTGTGTAAATAGATCAAAATTTCGTATCGTGATAACAAACTTATTACGGATCATACCCCAACATAACACATTTATACAGTAGATGGCTTGCAGTGGATGTTTTGATTTCAAATCCATTATTTATTAGTTTGATGTGATTTTTCCTTTGATCGGTTCTAATACGACTTGGAACTCGCACAATGGTATAAATTAGACCACCCAAAATAAAGCAAGCGAGTGCTAAGCTACTTTCCGCACGGGTAGTTTTTAGGTCTCTTTCTTGTTATAGTTTTTAGACCCAAAATGTTCATTGGTTAACTGTTAAGAGTAAAATGAAAATGTAGAATAGTTAATAGCTGTATTCATAGCGACGGTCAATGCTCCAGAATTTCAGTTGGAAGTCTTGAAAGTAGTGATTTAGTTTTTACCTATCTAGTGGTCCATAGTGTACCTAGTAAATGTATAGTGGTCGTTATTATTAATACCAAAATAAATAATTTATTATTATTATTGTAGCTGATTAAAACTGCGAAGAATGCCGACAATTGTTTTTACAACAAGGTAATAAAAGTACCTATCTAATAAGTTGTCCCATAAAAAATAATAGTGAAGTAGTCTAAAATAATAGTAACTTTCATACCTCTTTCCTAATATTCCTACGGGAAATGAAAGCACTGTTACCAATTATGTGTAACATGTTACATTACGAAACACGGACGTTTTATTCTTTAAAAAACTGTGATTTCATACACGCGTGGGTTCAGTAAATAAATAATTTCAACAATATAATGGCACGTTTAATACAATGAGGTTTTGTGCGATGAAATATAAATTTTCACCGCATTCTTTCTGGTTGGTTGACTACTTTATGAATGATATTGCTATTATATCACATAAACGTAACTATTTTGAGTACATATAATTATATTATATATGTTATCAAAATGGTTATGTTTATGAAAATGGTTTTTCGTGATCAAGTTACGTATTTAACATGCGACATATTTTTCTGTGTCCCTACAGCTCGTGTCATATTTCTGCGTCAGAGAATATGCATGATTTTTTTTCCTTTAATTAACACAACTGCTTCTCCTTATGTACTGTGTTTTTTTTGCTTCGTAGCCGGGCGCTAGGGGCACGGCAATTGGTATTTAACTTAGCGCTTAAAAGGTTAATATTTCGTGGTTCGGGTTGAGTACCTACGGCTCTTTAACTAGATTGGACTTTACTAAACCCGTGGTTTTTATAGTTACGTAAAGTTGATGTATCCTTTAATATTTAAGCATCTCTCAAAATCTATACCAGTCCAAGTAAGTCCAATCTGTAAGTCAAAACAAGTCCAGTAATTTTACTGGACTTGTTTTGACTTACAATTTAGTATCTGTATCAGGCCCGCCGTAAGCGGCGAGCCGAGTCGAAACCGACTAAATCTTTAGTTCACTTTTGAGAGTACCTCTAAAACTATCGAGCGTCCTCGAAGACGATGGAGCGCCCTCGAACACTTTCGAGAAACACTCGAAAACTATCGAGTGCCCTCGATCATTTTCAAAACTTCATCATTCATCGGATCATTTCCGAGAGGTAGCAGGAGCCGCTTTGGGTGTAATATCGCGTTGCGTTGTCGGGATCTCCGGCCGCCGTAAGCGCGAGCCTGCGGACGGCAAGCAAGGATAGCTCACCACCTGACAAGTCCAGACCCGAACGTACGGCGCGTCGCGTAAAATGCAGGCCTCAAAGTGCCATCAGACCACCCTAGACGGGGCGACGGGATTGTTGCTGGAGGGTACGTTGTCATGGGTACTGAGGCCCTGGCTTTGAGCAAGTGTTCGAAGGAATAGGGTGGTTTTTGGTTAGTAAGAGTTGTAAGAGTCACTTCCTCAAGAGTCTTTTGATGACTTTTTACGCACCCAATAAAGGGTGGTATAATCGGTATTTGTTCAAATAGCTAGCGGCGGGCCTGATCTGTATTCACAATATTAATGTCTCACAGTACCTATGTGTGTAAAAAACCTTCTTTAATTTTTAACTCTTCGTTTTAGCTTCATACTCTACAACTAGCACACGAAAAGGAGTTGATGCAGATGAATCTCCAAGTTTACCCGTTGCAAGAGGAGATTAAACTTCTCAATAAAACAGTGGAAATTCTTCAGGAGCGAGTGCGGACTACGGAAGAAAAGCTTATGAGGTACCAGGCTGGCATGAAAGACGACGTGCTTGCGGGAGGCGACAATAATTGCAATAAAAATAAAAGGGACCGTTAGTTTTAATTCAGTTGTCAAATTGGATTCATAGACACGCTGTTTGGAGCGTGGCTAACAAGAGCGCGTAACTCGTGTTTCGGTTGATCCGTGACCGTTTCATTTAATGGTTTAATTGGGTCGTTTTTTTTAATTATTATAGAACCGTTTAAGAAATTTTGATAATTTGGTACTTATCTACTTAATTAACGCTCTACGATTGATCTTTCTTTTTTTATATAAAAAATGCGGTATGTTTTATGTTTTATGCAAAAAATGCGAAGGATTGTTTTTAAACAAAAACTGACAAATGATAAGAATCTAGTGTCAGTGTGTTGTTTGTGTGTAGCCGCTCTGTATTTTACATTGTTGGAAATAATAGAGTGAGCTCGTTGATGAATAATTGCGTGCATAATGAATTTTTGTATCTGCCTATTATTATGCAAAGGAAGTAAGTACAGTATCAGTTAAATGACGTTCCTGTTGTGCAATTTCTATTTTACTTTTATTACAATAAGACACACTTTAGTAACAAACTTGCCATATGTTCACAAAACAAGGAGCACAAATTAGGATTACGTATCTACTATTGTCTCGTTTACAATTGAAGAGAAGGTGATACTTTATTTACAATTGTATTGTATTGGCATTAAGGTATATTTTTCAAAAGCGGTAGCTGCTAGTAGGTATGAGGCGTAAAAGATCGGTCAAGCGCCTAAATCGATGGCCTTTTGCATCGAAATTAGAAATGCAACGATGGGCATAATAAGACTTGTTTCATTTGAGCACAGTGGTCGTACGGCCAATTCGCACAGCTAACAAATTACATGCGTACCAAATACTGGGAATGCTCTGAGGAATTGTTTGACCTGACCTGATACCTGCTGCATCTTTTCGCCATCGACCCTCACGACAGCATATGCATCCCCATCATATTGATGGTTGGCAGGCCACAACTGTGCGCTTCTCACGTAGCTTCCTGCCTCGTACAGAAAAACTGCGGAATGATCTGTTGTCGGCGGTATTTCCGAACCGATACGACCTTCAAACGTTCAAGAAAAGAGCGTATTCCTTTTTAAACTGTCAAACACCAAGCGGTCACCGGTGACCGCAACCTATTGTTCTTTAATTGTGTCTATAAATACGGTACTCGACGAGTTAAAAGGCCGGCAACGCAACTGTGACTCCTCTGGTGTTGCGGGTGTCCATGGGCGGCGCTGATCGCTTACCATCAGGTGATCCGTCTGCTCGTTTGCCTCCTATTCCATAAAAAAACACTTACGTTGTAGGTATTTCGCCGTGTGAGGCTACCGGAGGCCCATATCTTTCCCCTATCCCCTAATCCTCAAATCACTGACTCCCAAAAGGCCGGCAACACACCTCCATTTGCTCTGATGTTACAGATGTCCATGTGCGAAACCGCTTGCTTACAATCGAGTGGTCTGGTGAGGTTTGCCGCACCATCCCACAAAACCAAAAAAGTAGACCGGGGTTTTTGGGTATTTCTTCTGATATCAACATGGTTGCGCAACTGAGTGTCGGCGACCAAATCAAGCCGTGTGCTTTTATGCTCCTTAACCCTTTGAGTACCGTCATTATAGACACATATTAGAGAACAATAGGTGTGCGGACACCGGTGTGCTCGTGGTGTTTGACAGTTTAAGTTCCTATAGACAACATGTATGCGTTAACTAGTCGTACCATACGACCATGGTGTACCAATGAAATGGGATCCTAATATAAAATGGCAAATGACAATATGCTAAAGTTGAGATATATTTTTAAATGTTGTTTAGGGAAAGTCGATGACCAAAACGAGTTCTCCTTTTGATAAAAATAAACGAGTGGTCAAAACTAAAACTTGATTCGCACGGTGGTATTGGTATTATAGTTGTTGGGCGGTCGACTTTTTGAATGGAAAGTCTTAGGTTCAATTTGGGAAAACAATGTGGTGTTTGTACCTCGTACGTAATAGTATCAAAATTAAAGTGATATGGAGGCAATTATGAAATATTTTTGAGAAATAAATGCTTGAGTGTATTTTCGTAAAATGTGCTTTATGTGCGACTTAAAGAGGTTCATTTTAGTGTGATGATGCATAAGAAAGGTTGTATTTTTCTAATAGATTCTTAGCACAATAATGTCGTTGCATTTATATATTTAAGTAATTTGTTTGTATGTTAGATATAACTTAGAAATAATATAGATGTACTCATGTGCCTTGTCCGTGTCTTTTGTCTAGTAAAATGTTTAACATACTTTTAAGATTTTCTGGTCAAATATTAGTAATTATATAAGTTATGTTTAGTAGAATATTATTAAATATAAAGAAGAGAAATTCGTTTTGATGTAAACTGACAAACGGAGATTAATTTATCCTTTCGATTATTCGAGGGGGCTCGACAAGTTTCGAGGCTAGCCTGGGGCTCATGAATATGAGTAAAGTTGACTGCGCAACGCCGTCATTCACAAATTACACTAGGATCTCTATTTCCTCATAGTTCTTACGGAAAAAAGTTTAGTTATTTTTTTTTTTTGTTGCCTAGCCCTATATGTTACAGTTATACTTTAGGAAGTTATGCTTCGTGTATCATTTTATCTGTTGTTTTTTACTCTATAAATTACTGTTAAAAATAATCTAATTATGTATGTCAAACTATCTTAAGTATTGGTTAAAAAATCATGCAACTTTAATGAATGAAGTAATAGAATTACAAATGTATTAAGTATATACAGGCTGTATCTACATTCCTGAACGATAATTTGAACAAAGGTACTTGTGCCTACATAATATATGTAATTCTGCTGCTGTATTCTTTGAGAATACCTTAATGTGCACTGTACCTACGACTAATGACTAGTTTGAAACAAAGTCAAGGTTTTCTTATACGTAGCTGTAAAATGGGACCATGTAATTAGATATAAGGAATGCTTCGAGTGCCTAGATAACCCACTTAAGATTATTTTGTTCGACATTTGTTTACGGAATAGATAACGCACAATACATAATAATTTTAATATAGCCTAATATATGCTGATTTTAAACTCTATTATGTTCTGAATAAGGTTTAAAAATTGCAAATGTTACGCGCGAATACTAAAAGTCTACTCAATTTTAAGTCGCGTTTAACTAATAATAGTTCTGTCACTACAAATTCTTTGTAAAATGAGAGAGATGGCACGATATTTAAGAACAACTTAAACTTTAGTAGCCGTTCAGTATTCGCGCGTTAGTTAGACTGATACATAATGTATACCTATTCGAAACTTAAGCTGTTCCTATAACACAAAAATTCTAGTCATATTATCGTGAGTTTTTAAATTTGAGTTCGGACCCACCATTGACACAAGTAACAACTGTGGTGCCTTGTAATGTACGAACAATAATAAATAAGTTTATTTGTGTATTTCAACGTGTTTTATTTGAACAATACAGATAACTTATTCACTTATCCAGATTTACCGCCCTGACCATACATTTTATTGACCATGTTACCTTTACTAAAAATTGGTTTGACGTTTACTTAATTATCATTTAAACGTCAAAATCACATTGTCGATCTTTTTATCCGTTTTTTTTTTCTTTTACTTAAATGGGCACGGGTATGTTTTATATCTTTCTGGTCTACTACTTTAATAGCGATATAAATTAACAATCAATAACAGATTGCTTGTAAACGAGTGTTTACATTAAGAAAGCCGTCAATAAACAAAAAAGAAAAAGTGTTAAATGCAGCTAAGCATGCAACACCTACATTTCACTAGTTTGCATCTAAAGTGCAGTTTCTCTGCTGGGGCATAATTAGATTAGCAGACAGACTTAGTTCTATTTAGATAAACTGGAATTAACGGTATTGAAAATCTTCACGGTTACATATATTTATGTAAATATACCTACTCTTAGACTTTTTTTTAAGGGGGGAAAATCATCGAATGACTGCTCCCGCCTGGGTGAGGCGGAGGGGAGTGTCAGACTCTTACTGACTAAAAACCACCCCGTTCCTTCTCCTGCACGTCGAGCCGGAGCCCCGGTTACCCGTTAGGTTCTCCGCGACTACCTACTCTTAGACTGTATTCTGTCGACTGTCGTTGACATTCCATCAATGTCTAATATTAAATATGGTTTCCACATTCGAAAGATGTCGGTTAGTTCGCAATCATTATGAGTGACTACTATATTTGCACGCCAAACATGCCTCGAACTTTTTTTACTGCTAACCGCTATCTTACATGTTATTGTTTATTGTATGTGCACATGTGTTTGAGCAAATATGATTGATCAAATCATATCTAATCTTATATGGAATAATCATCTTGTAGGTATATTGTATGTATATCAATTCCAAGATCGGATAGGGCTGTCGCTGTCTTTTGATTTTCAAAAATCTGATGGCTGACCCCTTTATGGGACTTTAATTCCCTACAGCTTACAACTTGCGAAAAATTAATAAAACAACGGAGTTTAGTAGCGATATTTTTTATTCAAATTAAGTTGTTACTAAAACAAAGTTGAATTGTAAGTAACATGGCTTTAAATTGTAACATTAGAACCACGTTTGGTTTTCAAGATTTTCTTGACTTAATCTATTTGGTATATTGATAAATTTGCACAGAAATCGGACGGCAGCGTATAGTTCCTTCCCAGTATCTTCTATTTCTTTTGGTGGTACGAAAAACCCTAGTTTTCCTTTGTCTCTACTCTCGATGACGTAGGCGTGTGTCACTCCATTAGTGTATGCCCAATCCACAAACGTACCTGTAGCTGGGTACACTAGATGGTATGTCGCACCGAATGTGTAGTTTTCTTTGGTGGTTTTATATATTGACTGAAAAAAGTAATTTCTTATTAAGTAAGTAGTTTATTTATACAAACATACATACATAACTTCACGCCTGTCTCCCATGGGGGTAGGCAGAGACTATGGAACGCCAATTACTACGATTCCTACATACCTCTTTCGCTTCATCAACAATCATATCTTTTCATGCATGCTCGTCGGTTAGGGTTACTTTTAATTTGGCCTTTCTTTAATATAAAGTATATATAAGTTTCTTTATATACTTGAGATTTGCAGAGAATCAATTATCGACATGGGGCCCAAAAGATCAGTAAACCAAAGGGGCTGGTCAAAGTCGCAGTATCGATGAAGGCTGGGAATAATTCGTTCCAGCTAGGTGGTGCCACAATATCTGCTAAATAGCTGACAGTAATTGGAGACGAAGAGACAAAGATGGAGGTCATTGAGGGGCTTTTTTAAAAGACGGTGATGATGTAGGAAGTACGTATAAGTACCGTATATGTCTACACATTACATGGTATGTCTTTACATTATTCTCACATGTGTGTACAATATTGGAATATGTATCAGAGCAATGTAAAACAGGCTTTTTTTAAGAAAGTAACGAATGGAGTTTCTTGCTCGTTCTCCACTCGAATCGACATTTTGGACCGAGCGCCTAGCTTCACTGACGGACAGACTGACAGACTATTATTTATTTTATACTAGCTTCTGCCCGCGACTTCGTAAGCGCAATCCCGTTCTTTCCCGTTCTTTCCCGTTCCCGTTCGAGATTTTCGGTAAAAAGTAAAATAAAAAATTCGATGAAAAAGTATCCTATGTCCGTCTCCTGGTTCTAATCTACCTCCCCACCAATCGTCATCCAAATCGATGTAGCCGTTCTAGAGTTATAATTAGTGTAACTAACACAACTTTCTTTTATATACATAGAAGATTTGTTGACGTTTCAAAAGTACCAAATTATGGTTTAATTGAAATAAATGCTTTTGAGTTTGAGTTTGAGTTTATAGGTACTCACAGTTTTCATTCTGGTAGCGACGGCTTTGTGCACATCAAGGTCTGGTGTGGCAGCCGTCCTTGCACTCCAGGGAAACAGAATCAGCTTCCCGTACGCATGGAGATCAACTAATGCAACGGGTTTCGGTGTCAATGATAATATTAAATCCTGGAAAAAATAAGGGATTGAGAAATAGTAACTACACATAACATAACATCACGCCTTTTATCCACGAAGCACTTAATTCCACTGTACAATGTAACACCCACTTTTCACTATTTATGCTATGAGTCCCATGTAATAGGGGGTGAGCCTATTGCCATATACCGGGAGCCTATTGCCATATGCCATATGCCACATTTCCAGACTCCGTGCTACCACTAAGAAAAACCCAGTAATACTTTGCCCGACCCGGCAATCGAACCCGAGACCTCCTGCCGAGATTCGGCCAATGAGGCTATCAAGCAGAATAGTAACTTTACCATGAAAATATGAGAGTTTATAGCACCTAAGAGTACTTATGCTCGTCCTTACGACAAAAATGACTTAAAGTTAAACCCCTATAGTAGTGAAGGTTAGAGTTATTAATCTAGTAGGTAGATCCAGACAATTTAATAGGTACATACATTACACAGTTACCTACTAAAACTTACTCGTAACGCTGTTGATTCTGCTTCAGAAAATGGAAATGGTCCAGAATATGTAGCTTTGCACTCACTGTGTTGTGTTATACCAGGAATCCGCCAGTCAGTTCTGAAACATATACACAACTTAACTCTTTGAGTACCGTCATTATAGACACAATTAACCCGTCGAGCGTCCGCGTTCCTTATGATCCAACGGGTGCACACGTGACATTTGGAGAACGAAAGAAATAAAGAAAGAAAATGCATTTATTTGGCCATTGGCACACGAAAACAAGGATCATTACAATAGAAATAAAAAATACAGTCAAAATAAAAACAAAACATAATAGTAGATTTTATAAAAGAGAAAGCAGCATGGAGCATTTTTTCTTATGATCCACCGGGTGCTCATAAGGACGCTCGAAGAGTTAAAGAACAATAGGTTGCGGTTACCGGTGACCGCTCGGTGTTTGACAGTTTAAATAGGACTACCGAATTAACATCATGGACAGCCAGTGACAGACTACTGCGGAACCCTCTCTAAGTAAGAGGGTTCGAAGGTTCATAGTATCCACACTTAACAAACGTAGGACTACCTATGTTATTGTATACTTCTACTATGAGAAGTATTACTGGTTTTTTTTTAAAGTTCTTAGTAGTAGCACAGAGTCTGGAAATGTAACCGGTATATGGCAATAGGCTCAGTCTCTATTACATGGGACTCATAATATAAATAGTGAAAAGTGGATGTTACATTCTACAGTGGCATCAAGTGCCGTAATGTGCACCTCAGCCTATCCTTTCAGGGATAAAAGGCGTGATGTTATGTTATGAAAATGTTTAACAAAAACTGCGCACGCTGCTCTCTAGGGCATTCAAATAACATGACTTACTCAAAGTTCCTGTTAACGTCTACGCCGTCACAGCTCATAAACCTGCGTCGATTCTTACGCCACAGCCTGTCCACTCCGTGGGTGTACGCATATCCATCAGGGTTTACCACAGGAATTATTAACCTGAAAGTAGAAAATAGCTAGATTTTGAGATGAGGATATCCCAGGCCAAGGTCAATCTTTAGGGAGCCGCGGAGGACTTAACGGGTTGCAGGGCAGGAGTAGGAACGGGGTGGTTTTTAGTCACTAGAGTTTGGCACAGGCGGGAGAAGTAATTCGATGATTTTTCCCCCCCTTAAAAAGTCCAATGTTACCCTTCAGGACAAAATCAGTCCTCAACTATCCTACCTATATCCTCGAAAATGTTTACCATGCGACACAGGGTGTGTTTAAGATTTCATAAATGGGCCCATTCCAGGCCAAAATCACTTCCACTCTGTCCTGTGTAGGTACATCTAGTGGGTACATTTATTTAGCTCTAGATTTTGAGATATTGCTGGATTTTAATGTGTACGTCTGGACTCTGGTAGCGCTCGTGGCTAATATGGTTGCACTTCTTTATTATAATATACTAGCTACTTCCGCACGGTTTCACTCGCTCTGCTTGGCACGGCGACTAATAATCGTAGCGTGATATTTTATAGCCTTCCTCGATAAATGGGCTATCCAAAACAGAAATAATTTTTCAAATCGGACCAGTAGTTTCGAAGATTAGCGCGTTCAAACAAACAAATAAACAAACTCTTCAGCTTTATAATATTAGTATAGATGTAGCAGCCACAAGACGTCCACTGCTGAACATAGGCCTACCCAAAAAGATTGGGTCATTTACTGTAAATTCTATTTGGCAGGTTAAGGTTTTGCGATTTCCTAATCGCAATTCATCCAAAGCACAGCCTTGACTAAATTATGATTTATTAAATAAGATGGTAGCGGGTGTCCTGTAGTTCGTCACTTATCTACTCAGTGCTAACTTACCAATTTTTATTTTTCATATAATTTTTTTGTGTATCGAACTTAGTGACAATAGTGTGCAATATGTACAGGGCTGATGTCACAGAGATCCACTCGCGCGCATGTTGTCCTCCTGTTATTAAAATTATTTTGTTTCTGGGATTACCATTTGTAATGTTGATCATCTAAAACATTTAAAATGCTTGGCTATTCTGCAATGTCAATTCAAACTCTCGCAGTGAGCTGGATCGCATTATCCTCTGTCGTTGGTCGAGATTATTCCCACAAATAATGACATTGCAGGCCGCGATCGAGCTCACTTCGAAAGGTCGGATTGACTTCTTACAGAATAGGCTGGCTGTATTATCTCTATAAAAGCAAATAGAACCTACGAAATTGGTATCTATCTACACTTAGATAAGTATAATTTTAAACTTTATTGTTGAAACGTACCTAAGGGTGAAAATCTATTGTAGAAGGACAAAAGTTATTTCAAATACGTGCGCCTCATATACCTGGTGATGGATAGTAAAAACTAAAAACCTTGTTTCCCGTATCACAATACTTAGGTACTTCAATAAACCTTGATTTTATTAATGAAACAAACTAGTCCATGACATGAGGAGAAAGCCCGCATTAGATAACAACTATGTCTTTATCTGACCCAATAACATAGGTAATGTCTATTTACATAGGAATCTAAGTAATCATAGATAAGAAATCTAGTTATGGATCGACTTCTCATTGTCATTGCCACCACCCGTGATGGGTAGGTACACGTTCTTTCTGAAGGCTAAGTACTTATTTGAAAATATTAGCATGTTTGTTGTGAAAACCCCGACCTTTTCTTAGCTCTTGTGCACTTGAGTAGGTTAACCTACTGGCTACTGTACCTACCTAGCTAGGCGAATTCAGGCTAGGTATTCTAAGATGTCTTCTGTTTGTGAGACTGCTATTTAAATGTGTCTAGCAGGTAACATTTTGCCATTGTTTTCAATAGGGTAGTTTCCTAAATTTTATACTAATGTCCGTCTGGTACATTAATTTAAAACGTATTTTTTCTTTTCTCACAAAATTAAATACTTTAGACGATATATTAATTTGAAATATCGTGTGACGTCACAGCGTGTCACATTTTGTAGCACGTTATGACGTAACGACCTCCGACTTCTAAACTTAACGCCATTTTATCTAAGTATTGCAATCTAATACGAGAAAATAAAAAAAATACGTATCTAATATTTTTTTTATCATCTAACTGACGGACTAATTAGATTTTTAATTTTGGTACCTTGGAAACTACCCAATTCATTAATTAAGTAAGTACTCAACTATATCAACTTATTTAATAAAAGTTTAAACATATTCGAACTACTAGAATTCGATAAGTAGACAGTTATTTATCTTAGTTCAAGTACCTACATAATTATGTAAGTACTATATATACTTACGTTTATTGTTCGGTTCTCGACAGTACGCCCAATGGATTGTACTCTACATATCGATGAATAATCCTCGGCCAAGAAATTGTAATATTCCTCTATTATATTTAATGTAGGATACTTCTTCCAATTCAGACGGTGACCTGCAATTTAGTCGTAAGTACTTACATGACCATCAACGAAGCTTTTTTTATGGACATTGTTGTTTCGCATCTTGCTGTCTAACATTTTAAATTTTAAAACCGTTAAAGGGATGTTTGTATAACCTTGATGGCTGGCAAACACGGGTTCGATTCTCGAAAATTTTAGTGAGCGAAGTGTGTGACTGGTGACCGCCAATAAATATGCTGATTCCATGACATATCTAGCGATATGTTATGCAGACTAATAAAACTGCCTGACCTGGGAGTCGAACTCGAGAAATTGCTCGGCAGTTGTGCTTGCTATTCGATAGACAGTAGAGTGGGGAAATAGTTGACGTAGTGTTTCGTACAACCGAAGTTGAAGTTACTTGCCGTCTCTAAGCGAGGTTTCCGTCCACAGCGAAGGCACGGCTGGTTCGGTGTCAATGCGCCGCTGTACATTTCTGATGAGTACCGTATAGTTCAAGTTGCGAGCCAGCAATTGATGGCGCACCTCCGCATTGTGCTCGGCTTCCACCAGGAAGTCCGCTTTCGTCGGAGATAAACTCCATATTGATATATCTGGTGTTACATTGAACCTTATTGAAAATTAATTAGTAGCTTTTTTTCTAAGTAATTAGAAAAATTAATAACAGTGCCTAGGTACCCATGCACCTAATTATTGATAATGCCCAGAATAAGTAAGATATGATAACGCAATGCACCATGTGGCCCTATTGAGTAGTTTTTGAGGTACCTATGGAATTGAACCTGCGCCATGCTTAGCAGTAACATTAGGGTAATTATGTCATTAACTCGTCGAGTACCGGTTTTATAGACACAATTAAAGAACAATAGGTCGCGGTCACCGGTGACCGCTTGGTGTTTGACAGTTTAAACCAGTTCAAGATTTTTGTACTATAGATACTTTTTATACGTAGGTATCCTTACAGAGTTCCTAGAGTCTACCACTCTACCTACTGATAACGTAATTGGCAAGTAATCCGGGGATATATTGTATTACTTATGTACAATAATAACGTACCGGTGTTAAACTTGGTAGTTTGGTCTGATAAGCCGTGTTGCTTACAAATTCGTTTTTGCTGCGCTGACGTTAGCTATATGTAGGTACCTACCTACTTTCTAAATCTTACACTTAAAAATATTCCTTAAATAATGCCGTGTATAGCCGCCTAATCTAATACTTACAATCACTATAATTTAAAAAAATGTCTACATAGGTACTAACCTTCGTAAGTAGGTACCTACCTACTAAAAAAACAATGAAATTAGATATAGGTGCGTGATTCGAAATATAACGTAGATAACCAATACGCATGCAGCAAAGAGTATAATAACTATAGGGAAAAGTCGTAGCTAAAACCGCTCACACAAATCAAATATTTTTCAAAATCATAGACACAAATCCAGATGGGCAGATGCGCACCTCATCCCCTGCGTACGGCACGTCGAGTTCCGCGCGCGCCTCAATGAGCCATCAGACCACCATAGATGGGGCCCCGTAGGGCTGATGCCCGAAACGTTGCCGGGGCTCCGGCTCGAAGAGCAGGAGTAGGAACGGGGTGGTTTTTAATCAGTAAAAGTCTGAGACTCCCTCTCGCCAACCCAAGGCGGGAGAAGTCATTGGATGATTTTCCCTCCACAAAAAAAATGCACACCTTATACTTAGGCAACCACTAATATACCGACAATGCCTATGAGAAGGATTTGAAAAACATCAGAAATTGCCTTACATAACTAAACTACCAACAATTTTGACTGAGACAAACATTAACTGGATTCTATTTTGATTCCGTAACACTTGATTATCACTTTTGTTGGCCATTACAATAATAATAAAAACTAATTTAACAAGATCATATTTAAGTACAATAAAAAAATTAAGTGAATAAATGACAATAACAGCTGTAATGTGAAAACACTAATTTACATATCTGAAATAAATAATGAATCAGTATGGAATCAGTGACCAAATCTACATGTTGACAAGAGCCAGAGACCCACACCGGACTCGTTGCTCAGCTCCGCCTCATCGTCGCCGGAACCCACAGAATCACCGGTGACAGCAAGCAGTTGCGTTAAGTTCAAGCGACATTTCTCCCCGCCAACGTAGGTAGGAAGGGCCTCCGCTTCCGAAAGGAAGAAATAGACTCAATCAATGAATAAGAACGTCATATGCTCATACTACGCTAACCTAGAGAGAGGAACTAATCTCACTGCGTATCGTGATAGGAAGCCGCTTATGCTTCAGGAGCTTGAGCCATCCGTTTCTCGGCCCAAAATAACTATAATAAATTTAGGGAAATCTGGAAAATACACCCAACATCCTGATGCACTCCTATTGTTGCCAATAAGCCAGATATAGTGATGATAGACCGACTAGCGCGAATTACGATTATTCCTCATTACGAGAACCTGAGGATAGCTGGTAAAGCTAAACAAGTTTAGAAAAAAAAATGTCCTACACTAGAATTTTCTCCTGTGTCGTGGGTGCGTTTACAAATATACAAGTTCACATACACATTACACCCATATTTGGTCTTGGCTTACGCAATATTAAAATGTGGAGTGTGGACTCGACTCAACAACCACCTTAGGAAGCTAGCGTTGGGCGGTTGAATAGGCCCTGATATAGAAGGCAATACTTTTTGGCACGTCACGCATCGTGAGGTGCCAAAATGTATATCCTGCCTAATCACCGCCCACCGGTAGCTTGAACCATGTTCCCGCTACTGGTCAGCTCCATTTATAAACATTTTTAGCAGTCATTAATAACGTAGCTAGCGTTATTTAAATAAATAAATATATAGAATATAAAAAATAAAGTTTTAAAAATAGATACCGGTAATTTTAATTTGATGACGATTCTTTTAAGTAGTACATAATATGTATGGGCAGTGTAACCTTGGTTGTCGCCGAGTCGCTTGATGAAGAGTACATCGTCCGTCCCCTTCAGATCAGTCTGCCACACTTGAGCTCCTTCATACGAGACCTTTTGTGCGTACGATCCATAGATTGCTGGATAGAAAAACCGAATGACAATATGACAATCTACAAAACTAATATATTCTCCAACGTTTTCACTCACCTACAGAGAATAAAATCCAATATACATTTACATAAGGCATTTCATTTCAATTTATTACAACTGAATGTTATTGAACATTTTTATTACTGATAAAAGTTTTATCGATCGTGTCGAGCCTAGCAGTTGGCTTTGTGAAAATGTATTATATTCGTTTCACATAAATAATACCCAAAGATGATGCAAGTTATATATGTTTATTAACATTACTATATACAATCATTGTAATTTGAAAATAGAAAGATTTCATTTTGGAACTCACATAAATTTATTATAAATGTGACAATTATTAAAACATTAGGCTTGGTGTTACACATTATTGCTACCAACAGTACCAACACACTATGTTATTCCATTCTGTGGCATACAAATAAAATAAATGCCACCAAACATTAAGCTGTTGCAACACAAGTCATCGCATTACTTCATATATCATTGGGTCTCTAATAAGTATCACAATTAATTCACTTATTATAAATAAATTATAAAATCGTCAACTCAGCGTCTATTCTCAATTATTTCAGTGTAAAAACAATGTCAAAAACGATTCACTATTAAATCTGATCACATGGTCCATTGTGCATAAAAACGCAAAACTATGCTTTTTACCAAATGTTTTCTTATTATTATCATCACGATAGACACAATCATCACCAATTAATTGTCAATGGAAATGACACATATTAGTCTATTTATTATGTCTTCTAATGAAAGTACATAGTTTTTTTTAAGAATACACTTTATATGCTAATAAATAAGCATCTCACATGTTTTGTAAATGAGTGATTAGACACGGAACCAGCGTTTCACCTCATAATTGGACATTAATGATCACTCACAATAATTCATCAATAACAATTTCGAGTCAACGAAATGGCCATAAGGCTACAAAGATACGATAGCGTTTCACAAGTTCACTAGTTCATATTAAAGTAGCGTGTTCTGTATGTGAAGCGCGCGCTCCTGCGCTAGTCGGCGTCCCCGTTGGGCACGGTGAGCGGCTCCTCGTCCTCGTTGTAGTCCAGCGACAGCACCGAGGCGCGCCTCCTCTTGCCGGGCGGCGTGTCGCTGCAGTCGCTGCCCGAGTACGTGCGCTTCTCGGGCGAGGCGGCGCGCGACGCCGTACGCGTGCCGTTCACTGTGGCGTGCGACGCGCGCAGCTCCTGTTGCAAGAACAGCACCGTACTCTGCATGCCCTCCACATCCTCGTCCAACTCCTGTAGAAACTCGTCCAGTTCTGGAATCACAAGTTTACATGTTAAATAACATATATAGAGCAACATTTGTGAATGTTATGCATTACATTTATGCAGTGACACAGACCTGATTGTGATTTTTTAACTTCTTCGCTAAAGCTTTTCTGTAGTGCTAGATCGCCCTCTAACTTAGCTATTCGCCCACTTGAAGTCATACGTCCAAGGTCTTCATTTTCTTGGTGCAACAGCCTGCATTTTGCCATAAGTTTTTTGCCAGTGTTTGAGTCTGGTGTGAATTTCCATGCAGACAATTCATTCTGAGTTTCTTCTAATCTCGCTTTAGTTGATGTGAGTTCTTGTTTTAACCTTAAAATTAGTACATTGACTGCTGGATCTAAAAGGGTCGGTCGTCCATTGAGACTCGCATGGGAAGACTTTAATTCCGTAATTTGACTCTGTAAATGAAATTAAATCTAATTAATATTGTAAATTTAACGAATCTACTTGCATGTAACTCTACCATAAATTGGTCAGCTAGTTCTGTACCTAAATATAGTGAGTACTTACAACATAATCTTGTATCTCTTGCTCCTTAGCTGCAAGCCGTCTAACTAACACCTTTTCTCTATGTTGGGACTCAGCATACTGCTGTTTTATTCTATCTTCTACCTCTTTCGCCTTTTCCAGGCTTCCTGTACACACCAATCATTAAATTAAAACCTTGTATTAGAGTGTAAGCACATCTTGTTTGTTCACATTATATTATTCCTGCAATCATACAGTTTGGTACGGACATTGTTTAATGTCACATTTCATATCAGTGAACCCACTTTAAATGCATAACATTTTGTATATCATGTGATGATAATTTTACACTCCACAACTGATAAGATAAGGGGTTATCTAAAAGTAGTAATATTGTGGACAAAATGTTATGCATTTTGTGTGGTTTGTTGATTACAATATTCAAATCGACAACACCTTAACTAAAGTATACAAACGACAACAATAATAATAAAAAATCCAATATTTGAACATTAAATACTATTTCAACCAACATTGGTATTTTTGGTCAATGTGACTGGAGCAGAAATGTTATCTGTTGCAAGGCAGGCAGTGCAACCTTTAATTTCAACAAGATTACAACTAAAGAAAGTCAGGAGGAAGTACAGGACTAAAGAATGAATTTAAAATTCATAAATTAATTATATTATGAATTCTCACATTACTACAAGAAGACTACAATAAGCAAGTTCCCATATCCAAAAATCTAGGTAGAAGATAAATAGGCAGATAATCATTAATGGAAAAAAAGTAATGTTTTTCTTAAAAATATCAAACCTGCGCCACATGGCGGACTTTACCCTTAGTTTCAAACAGACTGATCAGTAATCATAAATAGTCTTAAAAGAATTTTAATTCCTTTCAAAATTTGCAGAGATTGTGGGAACAATTTTATTGAAATATTCCTAAGAAACTTTATTCTAATCTGATACCAAAATTTGTTCTGCGACTTAAGAGCCATTCCACAAGGAAAGACACTCGACCAATAAAATATTTTGTAAATCGGTAATCTCTCCATAGACCTTGAGTTTAGTCTTTCAATAAATATAATATTTTATAGATATTCTTAATGAAATTGTTTCGTTCTATTAATAATTAAACAGTAACAGTTAAGAACAAATAAATATTTCTATTAAAATAGGTACAATATTAGATACTACTATCTAAAATATTCTAGTTTATTTTTAGACATTATGCTAATAAGACTTGCATTATTTGTAAATTTTTTTTTAAAACTATAGGTGATTTACCAAATCAGTCTAAGAAAGTATCAAATAATATATATTGTAAAACACAAAAAGTAAATGTTACTTTTTGTGTTTTATTGTTGCACCACACATTTGGGTGTGAAAAGAGTCATTACATGTAACTGCAAAAATTTTGTAACTGAAAATTACTTTTTCCTACATAATAGACGTGTCTATAATAAATATTTTTTGTTTATTTATTTATTTAAGCTTCATGCACAAAATGTACACTGTGGACTTAATGCCGCAGGCATTTTCTCCCAAGCTGACCTTTGGGTGATGCATATATTTTCAATTCTACAAATTGAAAATATTGATTTATTACATAAAAGATCTAGAATTTACAAATTAATTATATTTGTACATTTCATGAAGACCAATTAAATTTTAATCAGTACATCCACCAAATGTTTGTTTTCAATTACCTAAACATTAAAAAATTACTTGTTTTGAGGCCATGTTTATCAGTTCAATAACAACTAAAAATAATTATTCTGAATCTGAATCAGAACAATAATTTCAATATGATTTAGCAGTATATTTAAGATATAAAGCATATTGAAATTATTACCTAACTAGGTATTATTAACATTCAGCACTCAACATAAAAAAATGATGTTTTAGACTTTTTATGTAGTCCTATAGATAGAACTGAAGATCAAACTAGAAATGTTAGTCATAATGGCTAATAAGCTATGAATATGGTTTAGTTTATATTTATTTATGAGATACATGCAATGACTCACAAGCCAGGCAGCAGAATAGATTATAGAGCATTAGTTTAAAGCTGGCAAGAGAAACAGAATGTGTTTTATACCACAAACAAGATATGAAGCAAACTACACATGTAGCATACTGTAGTATACAGCTTAAATGTATAATAAACTTGCATGTTTATTTCTTGTTTACCTTTTTCTAAATAATTCCTATAATTGTTTAACATGTTATCTTATCATCCGCTGTCCAAGTATAGAGCAATATAAATATTATTTGTAGTAAAATTGTTTTGTCACAGCTCTAGATTTAAGACAACAACTATTAACATTACATTTTTTTGTTAATAACATTAATAAACACAATAATTCATAAGTTACAATAACAATACTTGAAGACAAAAGATAAATAAAGCAAATACAAAATAATATCTTAACTATACAGCAAAAGAAGTGATGAAAACATATTTACTTTTTCATGTGAGCATAGACCGGACCACTCGGCAGGCTCGGTTACCGAGGGTAGCGCAACATCACTGAACATGGACACACCTCCAGGATCATCTGGAGACATCACACGGCTCTCTGCCGATAATTGCACTTCCACTAAACACTCCACTGGCACCTCTCTTACACGGGATAACACCATTTCTTCGTCTTCACCTTTTATAACTTAAAGCACCTAAATACACCCGTACACCATTCCGTTTTATAACTAAACAATTTTCATTATCACAGTAACATTTCAATATGTCATAACAGTATCACTAGTTAATTTTTAGTTAAAGTATTGTCGATATAGATATAACAAAACAACTCGCGGGTCGAGCGTCGTAACGTCGCCGACCTGACGCTACCAAGCCGATGTAACTTTCTTAAATACCTTCCAACTGTTTGTTCAACGTTTCAAGATGGTCTATGTACAAGTCCTGGTTTCTCCACGCGGCGCGGAGCGAGTCTGCCGCGGCGGCGTCGAGCTGGAGCGGGGTCATTAACACGCGGGCTATGCTCGAGCCTCCGCCACCTGCTCCCACATCACACGACGCCTCGCCATGCCGCTCGGTCTCCTCGGACATTTCACTCTTACTAATACGTACTTTAAGAGTCCCTTTTCAACTGCAAGGAAACAACCAAAGTTAATCCTACAAAGAGATTAATTTGCATTTCTCCGCCGTTATCAAAAACCTGTCGTAACGTAAACTGTCATTATCAACAACGGTCGGGATACTTACGGTTTCTACGAATAATAATTAGATTTTCTTTAAATTAGAAATAACTATTACATACAATAACTATCACACACTAAAACTATTTCTAATATTTTACGAGGTCATCAAACGAAACAAGACAGACGCCATTTTATCACATACCACTATAGGGTTACCAAGTTTTTCAAATGTATAAATGATTATATTTATAAGTTAAATTATTTTATTAAAATATTGTATCTTTTACTAAACCAGAAATTATTTAAAAGAATCTTTCGTATTATAAATGAAAATTGTAATAAATAATAAAGGAGTGATTATTATTAAAAAAAATCTGTGGCAACATTAATAGAGATGATCTAGAAATCAGTTTTAATATTACGGTTACGGTTATTAAACGGTATAATTCTTGTACGATTTTCAAATTACAAAACATAATGTCTAATTTTATTTAATCATAAATTAAATATTTGAAATTATGTAATTGTGGTTTAGTGAAATAAATGAAAAATTTAAGATTCAGCTTAAAAAAATTAAAATGATTTTACCTACCCATAGACATTAGGATGTTCTCTGATTCTGTTTGACATTGACAGTTAGTATTGATGTCTAGCGGGAAATTTTAAATTGGAGTTTGGAGTATTTGCTGCTTTTTGTTAAATTCATTTGTTTCCTCACCCGACAGAAATTATTTATTCCTAATACTAATAGAATGCAATTGTTCGGTCAACGGTTACGCATTGCCATAAAACGTAAAATGCTTCCTGTAATTTTGCAATTATTAAATTAATGAATCATTTATCTTTATTTTGTGACCCGTCTTTGTTACCATTATCAAAGATAATTTTATGTTACAGGTACGCATTGTTATACGCCGTTTCCTTGGTATAAAAATGAAATTTATTATTTAGAAGTTTTAATAAATACCTATGGTATTTGGACAACTAATCATTCATGTGAAGGAAAACTATTGTCCTGATTCCTCTTATCTACAATAACGCAAAATAAAATGTATTCATTTCAAGAAGAATTTGAATACATAATGTGATGAGTAGGTATGACATAGGATAAGATGGACTTGGATATTGGAAGAAGAAGACGTTTATATATTATATTGCCAACTCCAAATGACTTGGCACAAGGGCGGGAAGAAGGAAATGTCTATGCAATGCAAAATGCCAAAACCAAGTTTTAACGCGGCCTGATAGAAACCAGACCTATTTAAAGTAGATGGACTTCAAATACGTGTGTACTTATAGCAGGTATTCATAGCTTTTTAGCAATTTTAATGCAGTAAGTTGGTATGATCTCCTCCGATTATAACTGAGTCTTGACTTAGGTATAAGTACCTACTCCACATCCCAGTAATTTCGTAGATTCGTATGTTATTGTAATAGCTATTGCTACTTACACCGAAATACCCCACTTTTTTAAAGCGAGTGGGTACTTATTACTATACCTATTTGATAGTTCACCTATACCTATTATTACCTAAATACGTATCTAGTTTTCAACAGTTGCATAATGTTAGGTAAGCATCATCAAGATCATCGGTATGAAAATAATATTTGTTGTAACGAAAAGTCTACTAAGTATACCTACCTACCTATTATTATATTATATATTTGTATAAAAATGCACGATTTCTGTAATTGAATGATTCTCCAAAAAAACACGAAAAAATAACGGCATAATTATCTTCAAGCCAAATTTAATACCTAATGGTGCTGATTAAAACACAAAAACTGAGCCGTGTCACTGGTTTTAACCAATGCAATAAAGTACAGAATTATATGATGATAATAAGTTACTATCGTGTTTAACAATGCGGGAAAATAATTATTGGCTAAATAAAAGTTAAAGTTTTGGAAGAAACACCCAGTAAAAACCAAGTGGTCACCTATTTCTTTTTGGAATGAAAATCACCTCCGACGAGAGTGCCAGACTCCTACTGATTAAAAAGCACTGAAACTGGAAAATGAGACAGTTCCACTACTGGAAATGTTGTTTATTACCTACACATTGTGTAGAAATACGTAGATACCTATTTACTTATGTAGTTTTGCAGTTTGGTTTTCATAATATCTGGTCCAGCCTCATATTTCAAACTATATGCGTGAATAAAACAAAACCTGCTTAATTTTTAATTTAATATTTTATTACTTAATCCATTAATTTAACAATTAACATCTAATTAATGTTTAACATTAATTTAGTTGGAATTTCTTATGAACTATTAGAAATAGAGATGTGTCCACTATCCGTTATTTAAAATATTTATTCATACTTGTAGAAAGTATTGGAGGTTTTCCTGCCCAGTTCGAGAAATAATTATTTAAGTAGTACTAACTTTACGAGATTGATAAGATCCAAACTTAAACTTCGAATCCAAAGACAAAGGCGGTAGGAAAGAAGATTGCATACAGCAGAAATGACTATGTGTGGCTAGCTACGAAAGAATGTGATGTGTCTTGACGAGATTGATTATGTTAATAAGAAATCTTGAGAGTAATTAGTTCCAGTAACGGGAAACTGAAAACAGTCTAAGTTGGACAAGATTTGTAAGACATGACGCTGATTTGTATCACGGAAAAATAATAATCTTAAGCACTAAGTAGTGGGCTAGTCATAGTCGGCACATCTCTAATTAAGAATCATAGAACAGATCATTTAAGTATATCACAATATATACAACATAATGTTTTTGTTCACAATTGGAACGGAATATCAATATGGTCTCCAAACTTCTTGGTTTCCCGCACCATAGAGGCCATGTTTAACTTCGTCGTTGCCATCACAGCTTTGAACCATACCACTAGCCTCGCCAGTTCCCTGTAGCTCCGTGGTTATAGAGATGCCTCCATCGATATCGCTGATTTTAATTTCGCTGGGAAAACATTGTTCTATGTTGTGTTTATCGCCAGAACTGTGTAGATGGACATGTATTTGGTTTTGGTTGACTGTTGAGTAAAGGTTCGGAAGGATCATCTGCGGGTTGTACGGCGCGTGTGATTGTATGCAGGTTGGATTATTGTTTATGCTATTGTATTGATAGTTATTGTAATTATAGGTGTTGTTTGGCCAGGAGTTGTAGTAGTTGGCGTCGTATCGCTGCGTCGGTAGTGCTGGAGGTGAGTTGAGCTCGGTAAGCGCAGCTCCTGTGCTGCTTGGGCTGCCCTTCACGAAACCTGTCGTGGTTGGTTGGAAGCCAGTGTACTCTGTGTGGCCAATCGGGATTTCAGGTAACACTGCGGAAGATAGAAAACGATAAAAATTAATAGATAGACTTTGGAGTATGATCAAAGATTTCAAAAGGGTTTCATAATCATAGGACCTGAATTAAAGCAAATGCATAAATAAACAATATTTTATACTTTTCTTTTTTAGCTAATCGAAATAATGAGGTGTAAAGGATTCTAGTTCATAATAATTGAATAATACAAGAATTATAGGTATGTGGTAGTTCGGTCCCTATCATGTGGTCAACCGCTCCATTACGGCGGGTAACCACGGCTTGAATGGAGGAAGTCCGTTTATCAGTACCTATTTAATGTGTGACGCAAATTGTAACGGTGTTAGAAACAATAACATTTAATTACCTAGATGTTTTGCCTGTAATTGATATATGTACATAAACACAAGTAATACATTTTTTATATGAACTCTATTCTACCAATAAACTTCTTTCGTTTGATATCCGTAACGGAGGGTAGTTATGGAAATAAATAGATATATTGCATAGTCATCAAGATAAAAAGTGTGTATCAATAAATCAGATCGATTTATCGTCACGAAGGGGGTCAAATTCTGATTATTATAGACCTAAACAAACAAACGGGTCCAGCTGAATAAAACCGCTTAATGAAATACGAACATAGGTATTATAATATTAGGGCTTATTTTGATTTGAAAGGTTTGTAATCCTATAAAAGTTCGCCATATAATGGGGATACACCATTGTACAGGACATTAGTTTTCAGTAATCTTCTGACCATGAAGGCGTGAAAAAGTCTATTTGTAGATAATAAATTATGTCATACTTTTCAAATGAGACACTACGCATGCAAATAAAAATAAAATGATTCACATTTTCAATTTCATCAATTCATGACTAAAATTTGCGTCTGATGACAAATGTATCACAATGATACAAATAAGTTACAAATGAAAAGTACTGCACGGTTGGCGCGGTGGCTGGGCAACTGACGGCCGTGCAAGGTGTCGCGGGTTCGATTCCCGCACGGAACAACTCTTTATGTGATCCACAGATTGTTGTTCCGGGTCTGGGTGTCATGTGAATGTGATATTGTATGTTTGTAAACGCACCCACGACACAGGAGAAATCCCAGTGTGGAGCAATGTTTTTAAAAAAATATTAAAATAGGTCGAATTTGTTGTCTGGCACTGGTAGAAGTTTAAATCTTTATAAACTGCGGTTAATGAACTAATAAGTAACATAATACCTACCTATGTATGTCTATAACTAAAGGCCGTGACAATTTCATTAGCTTTCTTTTCAGTAGGTACCCTGTCATATAAATATGAATTAATCTAATGAGTACTTACAAATAAGTGCTCATAGGGAACAATAGAATAAAGAAACTACATTTGGACATATTGAGTCGATTCCAAGTAACCAGAGATAAAGTTTACGTATATAAGATAAGGAGATTAACGAATTAATTTTTTAATTGTTATTGTAATGAATTGCAGCATTCATTATGAAAAAATTGGGTAGTTTCCAGGGTATCAAAATTAAAAATCTAATAAGTCCATCAGTGAGACAATGAAAAAATATTAGACAAGTATTTTTTAATTTCTCCTATTAAGTTGCAATATTTAGGTAAAATGACGTTAAGTTTATGAGTGGGAGGTCGTTACGTCATAACGTGCTATATAATGTGACACGCTGTGACGTCACACAATATTTCAAATTAATATATCGTCGAAAGTATTTAATTTTGTAGGAAAAGAAAAAATACGTGTCTGAAGTTTTAAATTAATGTAGGTACTATATGGACATTAAAATAAAATTTAGGAAACTACCCTATTGTAGGCTTGAGTTTTGAGCTTCAGAAATTTTCTACCAATACGTCAATAACTGGGTATAAATAGATAATTATTTTATTGTGTTGTTCTACTGAAGCTTTTTGATCTATTGTACCAATAAATGAGTATTATATTATAGGTAGTATTATGAATGTGTGCGCTTCGTACATACAGTAAAGTCACGACACGATATTACTGCATTATCGTAATCTTCTATTCTGATACAGACATGGTGTCAGAGGGTAATGTATAAAATAATATGTACATACTTTAGGAAAATAAGGTTTTTATAGAAAACATTTGAGTGTATCATGCCTACTCACTGTCTACTGAATGAACTGATTCTATGAAATTGTATCTGTACCTATTATTAAATTATTATTGGTCCTATTATTATATTAATCCTCGGATTCAACGATGTAATTTTTCATATTTGATACTAAGTAACAATTATTATTTATCAGCTCTTTGCTGTATTAATAGTTTAACGCAATTTGACGAGTAGCTCTACACAGCTTTTCAGAATTGTGATGTATTGTTTCGTTAAGAGATGGCGCTAGCGGCATGCTAGCACGATCGGATGCTGTATTAACTTTGGGATTTTTTTAATGTTCTAAGTCTATTTTCTGTTGCATTCTTGAGTCTAATCAATGGTGAACAGGTAATTCTTATTTCTGTTATAAATAGATAACTCACCTGCAGGTATATGTATAGTGGGGTCTGATTTATAATAAGGTGGTTGTAGCGGCGCGTACGCAGGGTACATGGAAGCCGTCGAAGGGTACCCCGTATTCCACTCGCTTGCTCCCAGGATATTTCCGCTGGATTCTGTAAAAATGTAAATGATTTGTTTAGATTATAAAATGTAAAAAAATTATTTAAGTATAGGTAAATACAATAAACATGTTTATACGCAAAGTATAAACATAGTTGAATAAAGGCATTTCTCTTAAACGGGTTTGTTTAACCGCCATGCTTGGCAGGTCGCTTGAGAATCGAATAATTGGGTCATCGAAAACACCAGAGAACGTGTTAATATATTTTTTTTTTTTTTTTTTTTTTTAATATAAGGGCTTTGTCGCTTAGCGACCATATCGCCCAGTTCGAGATAAACAAGTACTTATCACTAGCTTATGATCTACCTACTTATAACTAATTGGTATAAATGTTTCGCTCCGTCAGATGTTGGATGAGCAAGAACAGCGTTACAGAAACCGATGTCATTCGTTCTATGCCATCCCAAAATGTGGATCCTAACATTTTCATTCCGGGCACATTCCATCAAGATATGGAAGACATCCTCGACCACTCCGCATGAATCACAACATGGCGACGGAACTTTTTTCATTAAATAGTTAAACTTATTTGATGGAATATGTCCGGAGCGAAGCCTTAAAGCAATAGTGACTAAAATTTTATTGAGATCACAATCAATCCATGGAACCCGAGGAATCTTTGACTGGATAGTCCGATACCAAATCCCCTTTTCTTTTGACCTTTCGTCAAAATACTCCTGCCAAAGATCAAAACACTTATTTTTTGCTTTTCCAAAATAGTCCGAAAACAGTGGGGTAACATTCATAGCAACACCGTCAACGCACGCTTGCTTGGCGAGCATATCCACCACATCATTCTCCTCATACTGTACGTGTGACGGAATCCATTGGAGACGAACTGTTCTACCACTGGATTGAAGTTTTAAGATTGATTCATATATGGCAAAGGCTGTCGGAATACCTCGCATGTGAGAAGTGTTCCGAGCCAAATGTTGCAGCGAACTTTTGGAGTCTGTCAGAATCACAAATTTATCGCCATTGACCGACAGAATATAGGATAAGGCTTCCAATATAGCAATCAGCTCAATGTGCATAATGGAAATATCTGAATCAATTTTAAACTTCAAATGGCTTATCAGAACTGGGTCCCAAAAGGCTGCCCCTCCCAAAAGTTTGTCTTTGGAACCGTCAGTAAAAATTTTATGATAGTCTGAATATTGATCGTGTATATATGAAATACATAATTGTTTTAACTGTATGACATTGTAATGGCGTTTAGCTTTACTGATACTAGGAATTTTATCAATGACGATATGAGACAAGTCTATGCTACTGATCCATTTATCGAGGGAAAACATTCCAAGTTGAGCACAAGAGTGTACAGGAGAAGAGTCATATTGTGAAAGGATGTTAATTAGTAACGGTAACTTTTTATTGCGCCAATAACTGGAACCTGTGACTAGTGAAAGTTTTTCTAGTAATTGTATAGTTTTATTTTTGAGAAGAGATTTTGATTTTAAAATGAATTTACTGGCTAAGTATTTACGACGTATAAAAAGTGGTGGAATACATAACTCGCTTTCCATAACATGTATTGGGGTGCTGCGTATAAATCCTCCAATAACGCGCAATGCCTGATTTTGAATACGATCTAATTTAATTAATTTAGAGTTGCAGCTATTGTCATATAAGAAACTGGCATAATCAATTCTGCTTCGAATTATGGAAATATATAGACGTCTTATATGTTTTTGGTGAACTCCCCATCCCGGACCTGATAAAACTTTAAGTAAATTAATGAATTTTAGTACTTTCTGGGAGGTTTCATTAATATGCTTACCCCATCTTAACGAACTATCCAGCCAAAGACCTAAATATTTTATATTACTAACAACATCAATTGAAATATCATCATCTAAACCAAAATTAATTGATTTCCTAAAACATCCTTTTTTAAAAACACATATCTTAGTTTTATTTGGAGACATCGTTAAACCTAGTTTATCAATTAACATTATAGTGTATCGCAAAGCAGACCGAAGATCTTCAAATGCTAAATCTAAATTATTTTTGGTCGAATACAACACAAAATCATCAGCATATTGAGAGATACTAACCTGAGTAATATTATGACATATATGCGATGTAAGAATATTAAATAAAAGTGGAGCCAGCGGGTCTCCTTGGGCTAGCCCACGGCCAGTAGATCTGACAATTTCGCAATCGTGCGTAACCACATGCAGATGCCTGTTTGATAAAAATGACCACAAGTAGGTACAGACTTTTGACCCAACCCCAAACTGATCCAAAATACGTACCAGGCAGGAGACATCAACATTGTTGTAGGCACTTTCAATGTCAATGAAACATGCCGCTGTCACCCAATTCTTTGAAAATCCTAGTTGTATTTCCGACACTAATCTAGAGAGATTGTCGAGAGAAGATCGTGCCTTACGAAAACCTACCATGTCCTCAGAAAATAAACCCTGTTTTTCAAAGAACCATTCTATACGCTTGGCCAAAGTGGCATGAAAAATTTTACAGATGCATGATATTAAGGAGATAGGGCGCAAAGATGAGGCTGAACTATGCTTTGGAATTGGGACGACTTTAATTTGACGCCATTGAAGAGGAACAAAACCCACAGAAAAACATTGATTGTATATTTGAAGCAACATTTGTTTACCGGAAGGCGGAAGGTGTTTAATCATAGAAAAGGAAATTTGGTCTGCCCCAGGAGTTGTATCGCAATTCTTGATGCAGTTGATTAATTCAGACATTAAGATTGGAGACTCTAGCATGGCATTATTGGAACTAAAAGAAGGCTGTGGAGGACTTACAAAATCTGGAGTGAGATCTTTAAGTAGGCGTTCGGCTTTCTCTTTGTCTACACTGGTGTTAGGCACTTGCCGACTTTTCAACCACCTCATCTTACGCCACATTTCGGATGCAGAAGTGGTCTCGTCAATAGATGTACAAAACTGTTGAAAAGATTTACACCGAGCCTTGCGAATAAGCCTCTGAGCAGTGCTGATTTTCTCCTTGAGGATATCTAAATTACGCGGAGAGGGGCAACCTCTCAGCTTCGTGTTAATATATAATTATAATATAATGGTTCAGGGATACACAGGTACTTATTCCTTTGACTGAATAGGTACCTAACGAGCGATTCATTTAGACATTAACTATGTCATTAAACTGTACTTAGTTAAAATGAAATTTTTATATTGGTTAATGTTTTGTAGTTTTGGACAAGTAGGTACTTAAACAAGGAAAAAATACTTTAAAGTTTGTGTTACGAAATAATACTACTATTTTAATGATAGCTATATTTAATAGGAAGGTGTAGTGTAGACGTGTAGTCTATACGAATATGGGTGCGACCAAATTGGGTTTTATAATATTTTGTTTACTGAGGGCCAATTTTTCAAACGCCAGATAAAATATAACTGAGGAATACCTTTAAAGTAATTAAGTAGGTAGGTATCTATTTACATTAAGGTTATATTTTGAATTTTTTATGTGACAAACTTAATTTCTTTCATCAGTTCTAGAAATCAAAGAAATATTCTACGTATTCTGAGTCATGCGTGTGCCTCGGCCACGACCATTTAAGATCTAGAACGAGATATCAGACGACTCCCGGTTACATAGTTTCTTTAATCCTTTGAGTACCGTCATTATAGACACAATTAAAGAACAATAGGTGTGCGGACACCGGTGTCCTCGCGATGTTTGACAGTTTTATCACACGTGTGTCAGTCAAGTTAGGTAGGTACCTACAATTTAATTTTGTATCGTATACATTTTATAAATATTAAGAATCATCGGAATTAAAAAAAGTCTTTAAAAACTTAGTACATTTTAGGCCATGTTGCATAAATCGGTACAAAATAGCCAAACTACAATACGAAACATATTTATTAAATACATTAAGTACATACCCATATAGTTACAGTTTTTTGAGAAAGTCCACCGGATATTTCTTAAAGATATTTAAGTACTGCATTTACCGACAGGTGCCGGAACCATTTCGGTTCAAGGTTACCTATATTCTAGAGACACGCATTTCCCAACGATTACTCATACTTATTGAAAGTGAAACAGAATTAATATTCCACGCAAACGCTACGAACAATTATTTATTATTTATCGCTACAGATAATATAGATACCTACTTTTATTAATGATGTCTATCGATGTAAAAGATAAACATCTTTGAAGTAAATGTTCATAACTTAGTTTAATATTTAATCTTGTTTCGTACTGTAGGTACTTGTAATTTAAGTTTCTGGTAGATAATTATAAACTACAGCTAAGTAGGTACCTATGTCTGCGATTTATAAATTCCTGATAGTTCCTTCAGAATTTTTATTTTAGATTATTCAGGCTTCGATTAAAGATTTTAAATGTACCTACTTATCAGCTATCTGTTTTCATCATTATTCCTATAAAGCGAATCCCATAATAATCAATGACTATATCACCAACAATATAGTTAGATGCATATCATTGCAACTTAAATCTAGCATTACGTATTTTATTATCGGTAATAAAGTCGTATGGAATATAAACGATAGTGGATCATAACCAATTAATTATGTATGTCGCGTCTACGGAACTAGTCATAACGATTTGGGATTGCCAGCTGAATCATCAGTGGTGCCACACTAACGAAAGTGAGGCCAAAGCTATAACAATGCGAATTGGTGAACTCAAGGTTTGTGACACCTGCCTTTACGTAGGTACACAATCGGGTTTAGATTAGGTTGTGTTTATGGGTCTACGTGTTGAATTCGGTTCGTGGGGTATAAATAATGATATAAATTGAAAGTTTCAATTACTTTTTGATAATGATGTGAACGAGAAAGGAGTTGGGCATGGGTGACTCCAGTGACTCTAGTGTTTTGAGGATAAGGACATAAAGATAAAGAAAAATTTGTGGTCATTAGGGCTACCTACCGACTAGGTAGGAAACTTAAAATTTTATATTTTGCATGGCAAACTTTAAAAAAAATAGAGAAATCAGGATTCACGGTGTAGGTATTTTTT